GAGTCTCGTGAGTATTGGAAGCGGCTGGAGGAGGCAACCCTGCAAAGGTGTAGGCTCGCAGGATCGTGGCACGCATACAGAAGGCCAATGTGGTCCGGGAAACCTCAGTTTTTGAAGCGGTCGACAAGGGTATGAAGAGGTGCTAACATAGCCGTCAACAATCCTTGGAGGCAGCAAGGTAAACGTGTAGAGCCCTAACAGGGCAGAGTGTCAAATCTTCATTATCATGAGGCTCAAGAATGGCAGTTGGTTTTTCACAATGAAGTCCCAGCGGAGACCCAGGAAAACCTTGCCATGCTTCTTCCGCTCGAACCGCACCCGATTGACATCAAGCGCATGCAGTTCAGATATGCGAGCAGCGGTAGACAAAGCTACCAGGAAGAATGTCTGGAATGTTACTTGTTCGAAGTCCTTCCACTCTGTCGGGGACGATCGGTTGGATCAGGACAAGGCATCGACGATCACATTTTTTACACCGGGAATGTGTCTGGCTCTGGCTCTGGCTACGATGTTGAGTGAGTCAATGAGATGGATGAACCTGATCGCCCATTGTAGCAGATTCGCCGAGCCTGTCGAGCCTAGATGATTTATATACCAAACCACTGTCGAATTGTCTGATTGGATCAACAGATTGGTCGATTGAAGCTCTGTTGCCCAATGTGAGTCGGCTTGAACTACCACATTGAATTCCAGCTCATTTATATGAAGTACCCGTTCGTCAGATGACCACAGCCCGGCCACTTGGTGGTCAAGGAAATTGGCACCCCAACCCATGAGGGATGCATTGACGAATAGGTGATGAGTCGGTGCAAAGGGCATCATAGAGACTCCGGCACAAACATTCCGTTCGTCGAGCCACCATTGAAGGACTGGACGAAGCGGTTCTGGAAGGCAAATTAATTCCTTGGGGTTGTCGGCCTGAAGGTACAGGTGTAGAACTCACTGTATCGGCCGAAGTTGGAGCTGGCCTCTGTACGTTAAGGCTTGAGCTGACGTCAGAAGGCCCAGTAGCTCCTGCCACTGTTGTACTGTTCTCGCCTGAGACAGTGCTGGAGGAATGCATCGCTGAATCTTTATCCACCTGTCGTGAGTGTCAAACAGTGCTCCGATGAATTGGAGTGTCTGAGTCGGTATTAGTTCCGGTTTCGCAATCTTCAACAGCCATCCTAACTGTCTGAACAGCATGGTGGTGACCTGTAGCTGGCGAAGCAATATGATCGGATCCTGTTGAGCCTGGATGCAATAGTCTATGTAGCTTTCGAAGGTGATCCCTTGAAAGTTGAGGAAGCTGGTTATGGGCTTGGTAATTCGGGTAAAAAGCCATGGGGCCGTTGAAATTCCAAATGGTAGGACTTTCCATTGGTAGTGATTCCTGTTGAAAACGAAGCGAAGGTACTTCCGGTGTTCTGGATGTATCGGAACGTTTAGATAAGCATCCTGAAGATCTAGGCTGATGAGGAAGTCTCCCTTCTTCAGGATGGTGCATAAAAGGTTGATCGACACCATCCTGAAGTGAGGCGGTGGAAGCAGGAATCGGGCATTGAACAACTTCATATTGAAGATGAGCCGGGGATTTGTTGGAAATTTTCTTTGGAACCAAGAAGATGAGGAAGTAGAATCCTGAAGTGACGGGCTCTATCACGGGTCCACAGGATATGAGCGATGAGACGGATACGACGTCAGAGGTGGACTGCCAATAACGGGTAGCTGATAGCCGTGAAGTAGCAGGTTGGTGATGTACGGATCTCTGAGGATGGTCCAATTCGGGGCGAAGATCTGTAATCTCCTGCCTAACGGAGTGTTGTAAATCGGAACGACTGGGGCGGAAGGTCTCAGTCGTGCGATTGTCTCAAGCGGTCCTTGCTTCCTGGCGCTGGTCCCTGGGCCAGAGTTGGTCCTGGGGGGGTGGACGACGGGAGGACCCACCACGGCCAGATCTGTTTCCTTTGCCACGGCCTTGAGTGGATGCGCCACGAAAAAGATTGCGTAAATCCAGATTGGTAGGGGTGAACTGTGCAGTTTCACGCTGTTTTAATGAGTCCTGGAGCTGTGACTTCTGTACCTTTAACAGTTCAATCGAGACTTGAAAGTGGGTTTCTTTATCAACTTAGGTAGATACTTCTTAGATGCTACCATTGAAGAGGGAGTCAGTAAACCAAGGCTGGCGAAACAGTTCTGTTTTAAATCGCTCCTCCCATGAAGAGATGTTAAGGGGTGCACGTCGGCGAACAGCAAGAGTGTAGCCCAAAAAATGAGACAACTGATCCAGGACAATTTGGAACTGGTCCAGAGCTAAAGTCATGCATCCTCGGATGTAAGCATCTTGATCAGAATAAGTGTGCTCCAGAGCAGTGTTAACAGTGTCGACTGCTGCAATCACGCAACTAATAGATGGTAATGTCTTTCTCACGGCTGAATCCATGTGAGCCAACTCTTGGTCCTCAATAAGGTAGGGCGAAGCAGCTCTTTGCCACACAGGGTACCAATATCCTCAGCAGCTGTTGGAGCCGTAGAGATTTTTGTTAGGCCGTGGACATGAGAGGCAGACGGCTTATATCTGGGAGCAGAGAATCCTTCCTTAATTCGTTTCAGGCTCTTGAAACTATCACATAGTGTACTTGGTCATTTCAGAATACAAGGTTGAGGTGGTAGGGTGATGGTAGACCAATCCCGGTTCCTAAGAGTATAAGAGTGATCCAGGTCATCTGCTGAAGTACTCAGGGGAAGTTGGAGCTTCTCAACAATCCAAAGGAGTACCTGAGGTGTCTCAACTGCTGCAAAGCTACCCCCAGGGGTAGATAACTCAGAGTGAGCGGGAGATGCAGGCATGGCTATTTGGACTGGATTAATCTCAGGAGGTGGACCAGATGAAGAACCAGGAGCTACCGAATCCGGATGGGCTGGAGTAGAAGGCTGTATTTGGTTCCAGGCTGAGGTTATAGCCCTGATCATCATAATTAGGTCCGGAGTCGCTGTAGGAGTGGGATTGTTATCAGGTTTCCATGACTCAACGATGATCCTAGAGTGAGTCAAAGGATTCTCAGAGTGTGTAGACGGAACATCGTAAAAGACTGTAGGCCTATTAGTGGTATCAGAGCAATGATCACCCGAATGTCGATCAGAGGAACTGTATCGAGATCTTGACGTGGTAAGTACCGAAGTAGGTGGTAAGCCGGTGATCTGGATTCGCTAGTATGGCTAGGTGATCCGGTATGATATGAAGAACTAGTCCGGGTCGCTGTAGTTCTAGTTGGTGATCTGGTTCTGATTGGAGCTCTGGTTCGACCATCTGAATAGGATCGGCCATGAGATGTGGATCTGTACTGTGATCCCGATTGGTCAATGGCTCTGTAAGGTGATCTAGATCGTATAGGTGACCTGGGTTGGTAAGATGATCTGGATTTGTAAAGTGATCTGGATCAATTCGATGCACTAACTGGAAACTGTGATCGTGATCTGGATCTATAAGGTGATCTGGATCGAACAGGTGATCTGGTTTGCAGTTGCGATCTGGCTTGATTTGGTGATCTGGATCGGTTAGGTGATCTTCTTTGATGTTGTGATCTGGATCGGTTAGATGACATAGATCGGTCCGGTGATCTGATTCGAAGTTGTGATCTGGATCCATTCGGTGATCTGATCGGTTCGGTGATCGGTCCGATGATCAACTTCGATGTTGTGATCTGGATCGGTTCGGTGATCTGGATCGGCTACGTGATCTGGATCGGTCCTGTGATCTGATTCGAAGTTGTGATCTGGACCCGTTTGGTGATCTGGATCGGTTAGGTGATCTGGATCGATCAGGTGATGTGGATCGTAGTTGCGCTCTGGATCGTGACTGTGATCTGGATCGATCCAGTGATCTTGATCGGCACGGTGATCTAGATCAGGTTTGTGATGGTGATCTGGATCGCGAAGGTGATCTAGATCGTTGTGGTGATCTAGAATGATGTGATGATCTGGATCGGCGATTAGGTGACGAAACCTGAAGTGTTGATTCATGATGAACGTCCCCCAGCGACGTTGTTGTAGCCAGCTCCGTCCGGTTCCATGAACTGTAGGGGAACAGTTGGCTGGTTGAACGCAGTTGGCCAGGCTCCAAACAAACCGAGACAGTCGAGGGGATATGTACCGAAGATCTGGATGATGATAGTGTCGATCTAAGGTCCCCTGGTAGTGTAGATGGGACGGCAAAGATGAATTATCGATCACAACCACCCGCGAGTGATCTGGAAGATGGGACGGCAACGTCCCCAGATGAATTATCGAACCACAACATCGCTCTCTTGCGTGAAGGTACCCGCCGAGATACGCATGATCTGATTTCCTGTCCCTATCGGCGATATGGAACGGTGAGGTGATGAGGTGAAATGCGTCGTACGTATTTCGCTCATATGGACGTGCCGAACTTGTACTCCCTAACTTAGATAAGTAAGAAGCCATGATGAAGCATGAATACCATAAACATTATACTGCCCTCAGTCCTGAACCATTAATGCCGAGCGCCAGCGCCAGATAGCAGACAAATACCATATTTTAACGTCGCTCTCGGGGATCGAACCCGCCTCTCCGGGCGGACGAAGGTGGACGATTTTCTCGTCGTACGGAAAAAGTTTACAGTCGTTCCACTAAAAACTCGAAGCAAGAGATGTTAGGGTGAAATAATGTCTCTAATATAAAGCACGTCCACAAGTCCGAGAATGGTCATTCATGGTAAGAGAATTAGTGGAGCATAAGTTTAAAAATTCATGTTTGTCTCAATGTCAGGACCTGAGGCAGGTCGTGCAACCTTCATGTTTGTCTCATCAAAAGAATTTGTATTTCTGTTCCGGCCTTGTCCCCTCACCGTGTTAACAGCTAAAAGCGTGATCATTGAGTCTAGTCTATATGTTCTGTTGCCATGGGAAATGCGGTGACTTGTGCATCTATATGTCGTAATGCCCTAAAAAACTAATTCCACTGACATAGAAACACTATTGGGTAAATATAGTGTTAAAATCAAGGTTAATATATTTATGTGGCATTACTATAAAAATCCGATATTTCAGATACCTTACACATTTGCAAAAGATGGCATCCTTTCGCAATGGTGATGAAATTGTTTGGGTGAAGATGATTTGTAAGTATTTTCATATTTCTTGTTACTCTAAAAGTATTAGTGTTATTCTTTACATGTGACAAAAAAAGTATATATTTGCAAGGCGAACCATATTCTTGTCCCATGAATTATTGTCACTAAAAACCGTTTATATTCTACAAAATAATATTTTTTTAGTATGGTATACCCCAATCTGGCAGATATGGTATACCCCAATCTGGCAGATAAAATACAACATGCTAATAGCAAAATTGTAAATGAAATGAAATGTGTGCAGGTGTAATCCTTTTTTTTCAGAGGTGAGGTTGTACTAGTGCCCAGACTTAAGCTGGTTTTGTAGAAGACTGCTGGTTTTAGCCCACTGAGATACCATGCCGCAGTTAAGAATGAATACCCACTCAGACACATAATACTGACTCCGATCCGACCAGTCCTTGTTGTACCCATTAATGTTATTTTACAGAGACATGGAGCTGTTTGAACGGCTCGACAAAGCTGTAGATGTAAGTATCTCTTTATATGTATATCTCTTTCAAATTGAAAAATCACTAGTGACTGTAAATATTATATTTTTTCAGACCTATGTCACTAAAAATCGGATACACAATGTAGATATTCCATTATACGTGTCAGGAAGGCATGAGCAATACGGTTTGTTGTTTTGCATGGTTTATACAGTTTTATCTAGCCGAGCAACAGCAGCCGCAACCAAAAGAAATTCTGTGAATGTGACTTAGTTGATGTGTTAAATAATACTTATGTTTAAAAGAAATATAATTTACATTGAGTGTTAAGTGAGATTGCTTTGTAAGACACAATATTGATTCTAATGTTTTAATATGTGTTATCTCATGATATATTTTGTATATTTTTTCAGGGATGTGCACATGACACGGCTCCTGAAGGTCGTGTCAATACAACAGAGGTGTGCCCAAATCTGGCAAATTTTGGAACTGCTTCCATATTAAGTAAGTAGTTATTTTTCCCCTTTTTTGGACAGTAATAAAATCTTTTTAGGTTATCATAGCTGACTGACGGAATGACGGTTTGAGTAACTTAAATCATACATGGTTAAATTGTATCTTTACAATCATTCAACTAGACAGTTTGATGTGATTGAAAACTTATTGACTCAGTAGATAAGCCATCTGTTTATTCTATAATGAGGTGCATCACCTACACGTGTAAAGTAATATTTTTTTTTTTTTCAGAAAGATGGACAGATGAAGATATATTGTATTTACTGTATGTAAATAAAATATAAAATAGATTGTAAATAAAATAGATAAAGAAAAGAAAGCAAATGGTAGAAAAAACTTAGGATCACTAAAATCATTCGTAGAGAAACCAAAATGGTGGCTTTCATATTCTATGTGAAGAAAAAGAGCGAGCATTTCTCCATGAAAGTCCCCTAAAAAAACCATGAAATGAATTTATTTTTTCAATGATGTAAACAAACACTGCACTGAAACCTTGCAAATGTAAGGCCAGTCCGACCACTGTTGTCATGGGAACACATGGGAATTTTTCTACAATTCTTGTAACATTTGGTCCAATTTTTAGAACAAGTTATTACATAATTATTAAGTTATCAAAATACGATAAATTTGACACCAAAAAGCATAAGTTTTGGCTTTACTTACACAATTTGTGCAGCAAGCCAAGAAAAGTAGTTTCAGCCGTAGCAAGCCATTACTCTGTACCTAGCAAACCGTAACGGCCACTAGCAAACAGTTACTGTTCTAAAATTGGGAAGCAGTGTGCCACACGTGTGTTACAAGTTGGGTTTGTTGTGTAGCAGCAGATGCTACTATTTCTTGTCATGTGTTTTTAATACTGTTTGAAATAAAGTCATTTGTGCTTCAGTTAATGAATTTGTTAGATATTCAAACAGAACGAAACCCATGCTAATGTTGTCTTCTCAATAATCCCTGTTCAACAATCAGTCAATCTGTACAATAATTGGGTTAATTAATCAGTCAATGTACACAATGCCTGGAAATTTTAGACAATGTACACAATGACTGTGTGAATCAGGCAATGTACACATTGACTGGTTATTTCAGTCATTGTACACATTGCCTAATTGTAGACATTGACTGTAACATATACAGGGTGTGATGAAGGGATGCCTCGTCACACCTTGTTTATAATTCTGATCTTCCAGGTTCAGCCACATATTATGCCTGATACCCAGCGTTCACACGCACTTGCCCCTGAAACCAAGGTGCTCACTACCCTGATATTTTTCTCGGGGTTTTTTCTCCACGTTTTCACTTGGTTCAAAAACTACTTCCATCGTCTTCTTGACTATGCAAAAGGAGATAACTCGTGACTCGCTTTTCTCTATCTCTCTCACCAAAGAGTCTCGATCTAAGCTTAGCTAACATTTGTGTAACTTGTAGCTAAGACGATTGTAAAATTGGCGTAACTTTCAAAGATTGATCTTAGATAAGATCAGTTAGTGGAACGGCACCCAGGTTACTGAATTGATCTTCAGTAACCCATGCTTGTCGTAAGAGGCGACCAACAGGATCAGTTGGTCAGGGTCGCTGACTTGGTTAACACGTCATCGTATCCCAACTGCGAAAATCGCTGCCATATAGCTGTGGCGTAAAACTAAATTCATACCACTCCCCACACCCACCCCTATTTCCTTATTCGTTTATTTTTTTTTCACCATGCAAATTAGCTTTCGTGTAGTTAAATACTTGAAATTTAAGATACGAGTTTGGTGAAAAGGATTCATTACTAATCAATATGGGTTGATTTGATTTGGCGAACGTTTCGTTCATGTGTTGTTGTTTTTTGTCGTTCAGATTGAGGCCATAAAGAAGATACTGGCCTTATGATTCCCCGTAAAGACTTTCTTTTCATTATCTGAAAATAACAGTAAATAGAATGTGTACGGGGTCTCGAGTTGTTCTTTTGTTCCCTAATCGATCCACTGGATATATATGCGTGTTAATCACAATTCACTCAGATGTTTTATGTCATTTGCGGAAGGAGATACAATGATAAAGTAAGTGTATAATTTCAAGCTGTTGCAGAGTCTATCGAATGTTTGTCAAGTACCATAAACAAATATACATTGTTTGTTTTATAAGCTAATTTAGTGTAATGACTTTCTTAAAATTGATAAATGAACTTTTCTATTCCTATGATCCATTTCGTTAAGGTCATAACATGTGTTTTGGGGGGGGATATTGATGACTTTGTCTTCTTGTTTGCGTTGTGTAATAGTTACAATCCAAGTTCAATACAGCCAATCTGTAAGCATTATCTTATGGTGTGGCACCAGATCCTACAGCTCTTCAGAGCAGGAATGACAAGATGTCGTAGAATATGCAGGCTGAAACCCAATCATGGCTCTTCAAGTGAAGATGAGTTCTGTGCAAATAAGATTTGTGATGAAGCAGACGAGATGATCTTACAGCTTGACGACTGCATGCACCTGGAGTCTGAATGCAGCAACTGCTTCACATCTTTGCTTGTTAATACGTGGAATACAGCTATCCGAAGGAAGTCAAATCTTTGGCAATAATAAAGTTTGTTATAATTGAAAAAACATTAGAAGCTGTGGTGACAATCCTTATTCAAATGAATTACCTCTTCCTGTGAAACTTATTCTTCCAAAAAGTTTGTTCTAATTTTAGAAGCTGTGGTGACAATCCGTACATTCAAATTACTCTTCCTGTGAAACTTATTCTATTGGTTGTGCTTGCTTACAGTATGGTACATGTATGTGTGTCTCTAGCATACTATAAGCACATGTATGGTATGTGTCTCTAGCATACTACTATGTATGCAATACTATGTATGTGTCTCTAGCATACTATAAGCACATGTATAATGGTATGTGTCTCTAGCATACTATAAATGGTATGTGTCTCTAGCATACTATAAGCACATGTATGGTATGTGTCTCTAGCATACTATAAGCACATGTATGGTATGTGTCTCTAGCATACTATAAGCACATGTATGGTATGTGTCTCTAGCATACTATAAGCACATGTATGGTATGTGTCTCTAGCATACTATAAGCACATGTAATATTGTGTGGTGTTAAACTGACCAAAGTGAACAAACCAAACTAAGTTTGCATGTATAAACCAAAGTTCAAATCCAGCAAAAATAACTAACAGTCATGATAAATGTAATTTTTATTCTGATGTGAAGTTGAAACATGTCATGATGTAACATACAATGAAGAAACCTGGATATATCTCATTATAAAATCCCTGGGATGCTTGTCCAAAACATAACTTCCAATCATGAGGCAGGCGACAAGTGGTTAATTAAAATTATAATAATGCTCTAAAATACACACCACATAAAAACAGATTCTTATCTTGGCTTACCCCCAAACCCATACCAGAAAAACGTATTCAGTTCTGATTCTTTCATTGGAATATCATAATGTTAACATTGATACTGAATATATTCGCTGTTGTTTGTGTGGACATGCTTGTGCTTCCAAAGCTAGGGACTAAAAATGACAGAATACAATATTTCAGTTCCATAACGACATGTCTGTTAATTGCTGGAAGACAGCCCAATCCATTGCAAGTCATGCATGCTGACAGCCCAAACACAAAGATCATGATTGGAGAGAATCTCAAACCAAATCCTCTATCAGACTCTTTCCATAAAAATATTACAGCATACAGCACATATGAACAGAGTCGGAAAACTGGCGGCGAGTTCTATCTCACAGTTATATAATTTACCCTTTCTAAACATAGACTGACTGAGTTTGGTTTTACGCCGCTTTTAGCAATATTCCAGCAACATCACGGCGGGGGACACCAGAAATGGGCTTCACACATTTTACCCATGTTGGGATTCGAACCTGGGTCTTCGGCGTGACGAGCCAACGCTTTAACCACTAGGCTACCCCACCACCCCTCTAAACATAGAAATTTTTCTATAATGATAAGATGAATCTTATTCACATACCAAAAACATTACCTCACTTACATACAGCCATGCTGAATATGCAATACAACTGTTCAATTACTAGCTTAACAAATTGGGCTTTCTTGGGGGCAATAAAAGGATGTAATTTTCACAAACTCCAGTCATGATGGTTGCAGTAAGGAAGTCACCATCACTGTCAACAAAGTGTCCAGTACAACAATGGTCTCGTCCTCTGTGAATGTCAAATGTTTATCTATTTTTCTTCGCCATGACCTCACTTCCTTGGCATTTTGTTGGGTGGAGGTCCTGCCACTAATGGTGGCCTCATGCCTACTGACATCATTGGGTGCATCGGGGGGCCCATCGGAGGTCCCATTGGGGGTCGCATTCCTAAAACCAAGGCAAAAATGTGATTGATAAACAGGCAGCGAAGAAATCTACAAAAAGAAGCATGTCAAAGGGCTGGAGGAATTGCTTTCCAATCACCTGGACTAGTTCATTTTTTCACTCAAGAATATTTCTTGACATGATCTTCATCATTTGTAAGAATAAAGTGCGAGTGCTTGTTCTGATGTAAGCCTAACTTACCTGCTTTGAAAGGTATGCAACTCTGCCAATTGCAATACCTTAGATGGATTTTAGCTTTGAGTGAATGAGTGAGTTTGGTTTTACGCCGCATTTGGTAATATTCCAGCAATATCACGGCGGGGGACACCAGAAATGAGCTTCACACATTGTACCCATGTGGGGAATCGAACCCGGGTCTTCGGCATGACGAGCAAATGCTTTAACCATCAGGCTACCCCACCACCCCTTTTAGCTTTGAAAGAGACGTAACTCTGCACAACAAATTACACAGCCTTGGATGATTGGGCAATTTGTGGCCTCCACCCTCAATGGCCACCACAGTGACGTGTATACATGCATGCAGACACATTAGCTTGTCTGGACTAATGCCAGTTGTTTGTGACAGCCCTGAGATACTATTCTACAGTCTAACATACAGTACAACCAGAAATTATTGAGACTTTAAAGATTATAATTTTAAAAAATTTCTCACTCATTAATCACGCATTAAAGGTGAATATTAGCAGAACATAACTCCAGATTCAAAGACAGGTGAACAGTTAGTATTTTGTCAAGTCACTATGGGCAGCAATGGGCAGCAATGCAGGCTTCAATGCGGCGGGGCATACTACTGATCAAAGAAGTTAGAAAGTCGTGGTCCATGCTGTCCCAATATCGGACTACTTCTTCTTTCATTTCAGCAATATTTGTCAGATTTTTCTTATTGACACTTTCCTTCATAAGTCCCCAAACATTTTCTATTGGATTTAGGTCAGGGCTATAGCTTGGCCAATCTAATATTGTCATATTTTGGGTCCGAAACCAGGCCTGTGAATGCTTTGAACGATGTTTTGGGTCGTTGTCCTGCTGGAAAATCCCAAAATCTCCATGGAACATGTGAGCAGATGGAAGTAAATGTCCCTCGAGAATATATGTGTACCGCTCACTGTTCATATTCCCCTAACACAGATATGCCACCCCACACGTTAACTTTCGGACTGTACTTTGGGCTGATACAAAGGTTTTTCAGTTTGTTTGGTCCAGAATTTCAGTGTATTAGGAAAACAGCAACACAGAACTTTCATTTGAGAAAATCACATTGTCCCAGTTAAATGTTTTTTGCTGTAAGCACCAGTTCAACCTTCGCTCCTTTTGTTCAGGTTTCATGATCGGTGATGGAATTCCTCGACGTTTCTGCCAACCCATTGCATGCAGCTCAGTTCTAATTGTCTCCTTACAGACAGCCACAGTTCCTCTATCAATCATATCCAGCCTTAAGTTTTCTAAACTCCTTCGTTTGTTTTTAGAAACAAGAATACCAAGCCGCCTCCTGTCACCGACAGTCAATTTTCTGGGCCTACCTGCGCCTCCCTGGTGCTCAATGCCATATCCATTTGCAATATTTTTCAAAACACAATAAACAGTGGACTAAGGGGATGCCTGTTCTAAGTGAAATCACTTAAGCTGATCTGATGTCCTTGTTATAATACTCTAAAATCAACTTCCTCTTCTCTAAATTATCCATACTGAGGATCACTGAAAATGCCGTCTGCTAGCAAGTAAACAAAGGGGGATAACTCTTCACAAACTAATGAAAAAGGATTATTGGAGTTGTCTCTCTTGAATGAAACCAAGCACTTGATAGCTGGTCAAGGTTGTTTATACTAGAAATCTAATTAAACATATTCCTAAAATTCTCAATAATGTCTGGTCATACTATAGAAAACCCACTCCAACATGGCATACTGTCCAGCTAACCAGTACTTGTTTAATACACTTAATGACAAGTGCTAGAGTAACAAGAAGGACTATATTTTAACATCGTTTGGTGCCATGCAGATAGGGTTACAAGGCCAAAATTCCACCCTCATTGTTTCCAAAGAACAAAAACGTCTGAAAAACTGCTTACCTGGCATCATTGGTGGCATGGGTCCTCCATGGGGGTGTCCCATCAGTGGCATCCCTGGGGGTACTCCTCCCATAGGCCCACCTGGACCAGGGGGACCTCCCTTACCTGAAATATACAGCAACATCATTATCGTCATGGAAACAATCAGGCAGAACACAAAGGAGATGCTCCTTGTCATATAACTCTTTAGTCCACCATCTCTTTGTTATAATTCTACACACACTTTATCTCGTAGTTTAATAAAGAATCACACTCAAGAAAGCAACACAATGAGAAGACAACACAGTGATGAGTCACCAATTATCAAACATTATCAAGAGACATGTCCATCCAAATACAGGTAAAAAAAGAAACCCACTCCCAAGGAGAATAAAAAAAACCCCATTAATCAAAACAAAAGCAACTTCAAAATGACATAAAACAGATAATTTCTTCATCAAAATATTGAGAAGGTTGCAAAAATAGTAATTCTTAAAATGGCGAAGGTACTACCTGCATGGAGAATTGATGCAATCATCACAAAGGATTGATAACAAAAACGTATCATGTTTCTTCAATGACAACTTACCTCCAAGGTTGGCTGGTGGGGGAACCATGGCGCCTTGCCCTCCTGGGCCACCCCCGCTGCCGAAGGGGTTGTTGGAGATCTTCCCTGCCTTGTATGCCGCAGCTGAACAAACAGATGTATAGCATACAGTGATTCTACCTTAACAAGACCAGTATTCCCAGTATTTCCTGTATGTCATCTCCACGAGGAAGGAAAGCCTGAGAACATGCTTTTAGACCTTTACCACTTTTGTTAAACCCACAAGGAAAACAAACCTAGTAATCAGGATGAATCATCATTTACCTGCACAACTACTGACTTCTCAGCTAAAAATATGGCCTAAAATAATCAAAAGCTTAAAATTGGAGACATTTCCTGCCATTTATCAAACAGGCTTTTCAATGATAAGTGACATGTATAAAAGAAGAAAACAAAATAAATCATGTTCTCCCAAACTCTATGAAATTGATATAACATTTATCAAGCAACAAATAAATGTACATAATCCTTATGAAAATGGGAGTATTGATCAAAATTGGTAACTCCCTTCACCTCAAACTTGCTAAATATACCATATTTATATTGTTTTTAATATACCAAGGAAGCCACAAGTAGGGCACATGTTCAAAAACAATGATGTTGGAAATATTTCTGACAAGTTGAAGTCAGGGAAGTAAATTACAGTGGTTCATTGATTCATGATATAATTTATGAAACTCATAAAAAAATAACTTCAAGAAAAAAGGCAAAAGCAACACTTTCATGTAGTTTCACTACATAGAGATTGAGAAACATTTCTCATAAATCCATCCTGCAATCAAATTATTCTTCGACCGTACTCCCTTAGCAAACATCAATCTTACCACAGTTGAAATAAAACAATAATTCATGGTTGGTTTTACACAATGCTAGGATATATTTCTTTGGGTTAAATAATAGTATTCAATCAATAGAATTCATCCCGTTATATTATTGTGCATGTTTGAACTTGTTCGCGGGGAAACGTGTGCACAGCTGATTGCTATTTCCGGCTTTGTGTATGAGACAAATACGCACGGTAATCTTAATTAATTTATAGAGCAAAAACTGTAACTAAAATTACACAATGCTAGGATATATTTCTTTGGGTTAAATAACGGTATTCTGTATTATATTTTACTGATGACTGCGTCAGAATTCGTCCGCTATATTATTGTGCATGTTTGAACTTGTTCGGGAAACGTGTGCACAGCTGATTGCTATTTCGGCTTTGTAATGCAGAGACAAAATACATGGTAATCTTAATCCCTGCAAATAAAACAATGCCCAGCAAAACAACTTATAACTTAAATGGTAATTAATCTTGTCGGTAGTGATGTTTAATTGCAAATTTGACGTCTCTACTGACAAAGTCGCCTTCTGTTGTTTGTTCACGCTAAGTGATACGATGTTGTTTTCTTACCCCTGGAAAAAAGTTTGACTAAAGTGTAACTCATGGATAAGACGACCCCCTTCTACAGACTGCTTTTTGGTCCTCAAAATTCGGGCTTATAGACGGTCATATACGGTAACATTTTGCAAGCAACAAATAATGTACATAATCCTTATGAAAATGGGAGTATTGATCAAAATTGGTAACTCCCTTCACCTCAAACTTGTTAAATTTGAGGTGTTTTGTTTTTAATATACCAAGGAAGCCACAAGTAGGCACATGTTCAAAAACAATGATGTTGGAAATATTTCTGACAAGTTGAAGTCAGGGAAGTTTAGTCAACACTGTAAATTACAGTGGTTCATTGATTCATGATATAATTTATGAAACTCATAAAAAAAAAAACTTTCGGAAAAAAGCCAAAAGCAACACTTTCATGTAGTTTCACTATATAGAGATTGAGAAACATTTCTCATAAATCCATCCATACATAAAATTATATTCAAAGCGACATAAGTTTAATGACCTCAAAGTTGTATGAAATAAATAAATAAGAGACGACATAAGTTTAATTGTTGTATGAATAAAGTACAAAGAAAAAGGAATAGGGATATAGGAAAGTAAGAAAGTGGAGAGGAAAGAGTAAGACCACATGATAAAACATGATTTCACTTGTTGGTGTTTTGACAAGGTAATAATGTTAAAACATGACAATGAATCAAGAATCTGAAGAATATGTTACATTATCTACATCAGCATATGACACTAATACAAATTGTATTCACTTCCATAGAATGCAAAACAATGTTGTGGCCAAAAGGGCATAATCAATGGCTCTCAAAGATAAAAATCAAACTTACCCATGTCAAAGACATGGTTTATCTGATATATCTAGCAAGAGTGAGGATTTGGGCTGCTTTTACATTATTGCAGCAATGTCATGGTCTTACACCAGAAACAGGCTTCACACATTGTTCTCATGTGAGGAATCAAACTCAGGTCTTTGGTTTGAGTGAGTGAGTGAGTGAGTGAGCAAGCGAGCTTGCAATATCACGTCTGGGGACACCAGAAGTGCACTAGGTTACCCCATCTAGTAACAGAGACAGTTTGTTGACATGGATGAGGAGATAATAGCGGAAACTCACCGAGTCATGGGTCAGGTAGGTGTCACAGTAGTCACAATAATACCTGAAACACAAGAGAAACAATAAGAATCATGTTGGCATACAAATGTGTACTTGGGATGATGTTGGAGTGATGAACTTTAGCTTATTATGAGTTAATTGAATACTTGTTATATAGTCAAGAAGCATGTTAAGAAACAAGGAATTAGAGTATGTGTATGTTAAAGTTTGTTGTCTAATGGAACATTTAGCAATAGTTCAGCCACGTGAATGCAGTCCCATTTTGCAAATAATCGAGTCTGGATCAGTCAGTTCTGTGGTTGATAGCATGAACAATCATCAACATTAACTGGGTACAAGGACAGTTAAAGAGTCTGAATAACATATTGAGGCATTCCCACTTGAGTTGCTTCTTGTGACCAGCAAAATAGTGCAAGGAACATCTTCCAACAGACTCATTAGGATGCTGACCATTCTTTGATTAGAATACACAAGCTCATAATCACCATGATTACAATGACACACAGTAAACAAATGATCTAATTCTGACCACATAATTGAAATAAATTTCTTCTTGTGAAAGCAATGCGGTGATATTGGGCCTATATTAAACCAGCTCCACATAGGCAAATAGCAGGCCTAGTTGTAAACAGCCAGATGTCAGAACATTAAAAACAAATTCTGGCCTTTGTTTTTACAGTTTCATCTACCAGAATTTACCGTAAGCATTACATTTTTGTGCTGAGATATTTTAAGATGTGGTTTCATCTTGCACACAGTAATAAACATATAATGACTAAAACTCACTTATATTAAACACATAATATGTAATAATACTCCGTTGTTGTTCTAAGCCCTTTCAGGCAGCTCAAAAAGACAAGAAAGTAGGCCTAGCATTGGAGACAACTGGTAAACAAAATTGCACAAACAATAGCCACTGTCAAAATGAGTTAATCATTAAAAGGTCTCTCGGCATAGGTGATAATAAATGTGGTAAACGGACATACTTGGGCATATTTGATGAAATAAAACGCCGTTGTTAGTTTTCGTTCAGCATGCGTCGATTTCTGCTTTAGCCGCACGGGAAGTTGAAGTTGAAGTGGATTACCAAATGTGCATTTAAAACGAAGTACGAAAATGGCATTTTGTCAATTCTAACAACTTGATCTAAAGTTCTATGTATTGTATAGTAACACGAACAGTGACAAGACTCTTAGTTACAAGATATCAATTTGTGTGATTTCAAACATTTATTTAATATAAAATGTATATCTTGGTTCGTTCCAGTTTTTGTTACGTGTTTTGAATAATATACTCTCTAAACAGACGTGCACAATAAAACTACCGATCACTTAACAGATATGTGCAAAGGTTTATGAATCAAAATGTCTAAATTGTATAAGTATATAATTAAGTAGCTATTTCTTTAAGTGTGAGCCAAGGAAGACTTGTGTTATTGAATGAACATTGACGAAGCATAATTCAGGCTGGTTCTGAAGTATTAACTAAAAATGGCGGAAAGCTTGAGCACGATTCTGCATCGAGAAGTTGTTGTTACAGCCTCAACAGGAGTACGGTGGAAGGAAATAACAGTGTATACCGGTACGAACCTTAGTGTATATGTGTATTCTTTACATTTGGCTATATGATACATGTTGGTAAAGCTTAGTCAGTGTTGTGTCATAAAGCTTGCCAGAAACAAACCGGCAGGTGCCCCTGTGCATATTTCGATCAGTTTTAGAGCCGGCAAACATGAGTAGAACTTTTGCCAAAGAATGTTGTACCTAGTTTCCGGGTCGTGTGCAGATGCAGTATCGCTCTTTTGCAGGAAATTGCTGTATCAAAGATATTAAATGTTAAATTCGATAAGCTGAAGGCAGATTTACCTGGCATCGTAGACATTCATCAAGACATAAATGATAATATTGAGTAAACATTAAAGGTCACATGCAACGTAAAACACAACTTTGCAGATTCTGATACCTTTAAGGTATGGACTTACCGAAACAAATCATTAAAACTGCAAATTCAACTTATAAAGTTGAAAAATAACGCAATGAAAAAATACGTGCGAAATCCGAGTTCAAATGATTCACTAATTTCCCCCCAGGGCTTAGGGGAAAAGTGGTTTCAACAGCTGGGCTGCGCTCATAGCACATGCGCAGTGAAATAGGTTCGCGCAGCTTGGAAACGGGTTGTCCGGATTACAAGGTCGTGAGCAGGAGTAGTCTAATCAAAATAAATAGTAAATAATTTACTCATGACATAAAACTAAAAGAACCTTGTTAGGATCTAGATCTACTCAGCTATGTGTCAACCAGTGAGGCGTTGGACATTTCAAGACGGAAAACCTTCGCTGGCGGTGAATACTCGGTGAAGGCTTTGGTGTGAGCTATTTTTCTAATGTTTTGTTGATATTACAAGCACGAGCTTTTTATATGTTATGACAGTAGATTACCGATTTAACTGTTTATATAATTTCATTTGACTATTTCACCACACGTTTTTCTTACCGAGTCACTTTCTCAGATCGATACTTAAAAGCAACGTCATTATTTAGCATTGTCAGAATTTCTAACTTTGATATAGATAGGCTTCTGTCACAGACAAGACTCAATGTCTGTTTTATTGACACCTATGTGTCTGCCTGCCTGTCTGCTAATGACATTATACAATACACAACTTCGATCACTGACCACATGCAATTTGAACTTAACAGCTATCAGGCTATACACCATAAACAAAACGCAGTGTTTTATGGCCAGAGTTCGGTCTCTGTCACATTATGTAATTACACAGACAGGCAGGTGTGATACTTGTACACATGACATGTCATGATGTCTGTTGATTGCAAAATGATATACACAAAAAATGAGCATGTATTTACAAAACCCAACATCTCTATATATACACACACAATGAGCCGTGAGAGCATCGGCAAATGAACCAGCCGTTACACTTGGGTACACACCCACCCGCTCTGACTGGGTTCGGTATCCCGGCTGCTTCGTTTCTCGGGAAGTAAACCCAAGTACAAAATATTGCACTTTTGCTTTGCGATTGTACGCTTATAATTTTGTTTTATATGTTTTTTCATAATCAGCAATGTATATTATATGTCATGAATAAGTGATAATTGTGTTTTAATTATGTTTGATTTTTTGGTTGCATGTGACTTCTAAATTATCATTTGCACGTCTAGCCAACAAATTGGAGACTACACACATGGGCAAGAGTGTATTTTACCCTCGCTGCTCGCTGCGGGGCAATTATCGTGCAATAGCGCAACCACGCTGTCTCGCTACATCGCGGTAACTGCTCCTTCTCCCTTCATTTGCCAGTCAGACATCCTTAGGGTTCCAATCCTTAGGGAGCTGATGCATCTTCAGAGTCAAACAACCCTTTATGCTCCTTAGGATTAGGGTATGGCACCCTTTACGAACCTTAGGGTTAGGGGTTAGGTTTAAGGAACCTTACGATCCTTTGGGCTGGGTTTAGGGTATGGCACCCTTTCCGATCCTTAGGGTTAGGGTTGGGAGTGGGGCAGGGTTTGGGAACCTTTCCAAATCCTTAGGGTTAGGGACCTTTTCCCATCCTTATTTAGGGTTAGACCTTACCTCAGGGCAGTGTAATCCTATTATATCCAATTGAAACACATTTCAGTCCATTCGGGACTCGTCTGTACAGTCCAAGAAACAATGGTGCGGAAAAAACAAATGGGAAGGGCGTGGCACAGTGAGGCAGAAGCGCAAGGAATGTAAACAAACCATTGTTTTCATTTCTCACGTTATCGCCTGACTTCTGTGCAAGTGACCCATTAAACAAGCATTCATTAACTGTAATGGCGTCCACTTATTACGTCACTAATTAACAAAGTCAGTAATCCGACGAAGCACATGGAGCCCCAGCAGCGCTAATTAATTGGCTAGCCACAAATTATGGCTCAGCATGGCTATGGCCATCCTCGATAATCTCCAGGGTATACGTTACGATAGCTCTCCACTATACCCTGGACGCATCTATGGCTTGGCCCGATGATTTTATTACCCCCCTTGGCTGACTCTGCATTCTCACAGTAGCCAATCAGCTAAGCCACCATTACAACCGAACTTGCCAGTGTCAACAAAGATAGCGGTCGCAGCCGCGAAGGTTTGTTCGCAGTGCAACTCAGATTTTTGGGGAAATCATACAGACAAATTTACAGGTCTGAAACTTTTAAAAAATATATGCAAGAACTCCTTCAACCTCTTTCAGAGTACCTCTGCATCAATTGTGTTGCCAAGTTTAATCGGTTAGATAATTTAAGAAGTGAAAGTGAGCTGTGATTGGTCCGCTCAACTTAAAAAAATTAATTAAAAAAATAAATCATGAACATGATCAAGTGTCATGTTTTATGGAGAAAAATTTAACCGCGGAAGTGTACTGAGGTAAGAAATCAAGTGGCACTCTCAAGTTAGGTGAGCACAAATTGTTAGCTTTGGCTAAGCATTCCTTTGATGTCCAGGAATATGAACCAGTCATAATCCCTGATCAGTATCCATGCTCTGTGAAGAAAAAGCATTGAGCCCACATATTGTGATAACTAGGAAGGAATATGTTGGTGTTTCAGGTGCCTCCGCCAGCACCCTACAGGACATCAAGGTACCTGAGAGTTGTGGTGGATACTGCTACAGAGATGTTGAGGGTACAGGACTGGAAAACTCACCTGTCAGAAACAGATTCATATACTGGTGAGTAAGGCTGTTACGATTCACTCGCATATTCGGTGAATCGAACCGAGGCCCTTTATGAATTCAATTCATTATTCGTTGTCGCCAGAACCGAATATTAACGAATATTTCCAATTTTTTTAAGGGAGTGTGTTTTACTTGAACCCTTATGTTCTTTTTCAAAGTGAGATATGCAATTATGGAATATGTACTAGCCTTGCAGTAGCACAAGGCATGTTAGTTTGCCAAGGTCACACATGGTACTGTCCCTTATAAACTATTACATACCAAATCTGAGTGTCATGAGATCACTGGTTATTGCTGCGACAAATTAACACTGTCAACATGGGCGTTCCATATTGTACATCAATCACTTAACTACAATATTGTATTCGTGAATAATTATTCATATTCGTTACCCAATATTCATGATACATATCATATTCGCCACATAGTGTATTCGTTGCAGCCCTACCAGTGGTGAGTAATGTAAACATATCTTGGGATATTTCATCCTGATTCAGTTGATATGATTCCATGACCATTGATGAATGTGTAACTTTTGGAAAACTTCTAGAAAGGTTTCTGTATGCCTGAGTTGAGTATCCATGTTGAACCACAGCATATGATCTCTGAGCTACAAGCTCTTTTAGAGGCAGCCACACGTATGTATGTACTCTCAAGATAGATGCAATAATCTTTAACATGAAGTTAAACCCAATTTCAACTCCCCTTCCTATGATTAGTAAGCTAACATTATGCCCCCTTCATCATCATCTAGAAATATCAGGACAAATCTTATGGATAACAACTTCATTTATTTTTCACATCGTTTCTGGGCTAGTAGTGCTTACGCCTTCCTCATCCACCTGAAGAAGGGTCAAGAACTGAAGAAGAGGCAAGAACTAGCCCAGAAACATGAAAAATAAATGAAGTTGTTATCCATAAGATTTGTCTTGTATTACTACACCAACTTCTAAATGCCTTTGAAGGATTTCATCTAGAAATATCAATTATTTTGGGGTCCTGGGTCTAGATTTTCGAAGCTCTCTTAGCTTAAGATAGTCGTAACCTCATGGGTAGTCGCATCTGTCTTTGTCTAAGGCTATTTTCGAAACGATCGTAAAACTTAATATATATTTGCTAAGATCATAATCTAAGAGAGGTATATACCTGTCGTAACTAAGGTTGCGCGCACTTACACCTTATTCAGGTTGGCAACCTACATTGGTCTTGGGTTTGATTGTGAAGATAATCTTAATGAAGTTTACAGAAAACCCCGGATTTTCCGCGACCGTTCGCGTCAGTTAGACACGTTGGACAACGATGAACTGATCTCTGGTTATAGAATGCCTCATCATGCTATCTTTAACTTAGTATCTCTTGTTGAGGTTGGTTTGGTTCGGGAGACCCAGCGATTGGTGCCCCTCTCACCTGAAATACAGGTGATGGTTACCCTCCGCTTTCTTGCCAAAGGCAGTTTCCAGTCTAAGCTGGCGGATATGCACAGCATTGTGAAATCCAGCGTATCGGTTCGTTTAGTGTTCATGTTGACGTCTGCTGTTTACATAGGGGAATTCTGTGACGTCATCGGGGATTCCCTGGATACGGTTTACGACAGCTGTCGTATCGAGACCTTACGGCGAACATACGAGCGTTTCGAAAATCTCTCTTATGGTCGCGCTAAGATTATCTTAACTGTTGACATAACTTCTTATGACCTGTCTTAGTTATGAGCTCTTCGAAAATCTAGGCCCTGAACTTTACAAACTGTTTCATACTTAATATCGTTAAAATTATCTTCTCTTGGTGGAACTTCAGAATGAAAATAATAAAGACCATGTTGTTTAAGTGTGGATACTTTTTTCAGTCATTACTGAGTATATATATATGTGTGTGTGTGTGTATGTATATATAGTGGGAATATCAATATCTAGACAGTAAAGAATTTAAGGCAAATTCTTTTAGAAAGCCTACACGGCTCAAGAACCATACTGTCTGCAAATGTGTTCAGACTGTTACCCATACTGTAACATGTTTAAAACACAGGGTGACCCATATCCTCATTTAAAAGCTGTAATGTAGGTGACTGAAACAGAATTTAGTCACTTTGGGATACACAATACTGCAGATAAAAGTATCTGTGTTTTTGGTTTCATGAGACAGGAAGGTCTTACTCAAGTCATTCAAATGTTTGGTCATGTGACTATCTGGAATATTGCTTTGTTTGTAGGAGAGCCAACGATGACACACTGGAATTGGTAGAACAGTCACTGGACGTGAACCTGTCTGGGAACCATGTGCGTTACAGGTTCCAGGACACGCCGATACTCAACGGCATCTCTGTCCATGAAGCCCGCAACAGCCTCGTCATCCTCGTCCCCACAGTGGCCAGCGTGCACAGACTTCGTCTTTCCCCATCCCCTCAAACTTGACAAAAGGGTGAGTCACATATTCCATCATAGAGTGAGTCCTTTAATTGCATATAATATTACTTATGGTACATTGTGTTTAAACTATCCCATCATTTATTGCTTATTGTCAGTGAAAACCTCTTGATTAGGACTGCACAGTATATATATTGCAAAAGTATTTCTATGTCCACGTATATTGGTTACAAATGTAACAAAATGCACATTTGTGTTGTTCATCTAAAAACTGCAGCTACCGTATATGATGGTGATACCTCAATAATCAAGCATCCCAAGAAGGTCCGGACCACAGGCAAACTGTAGCGCAAATAGGGTTGCGCAGCAGAGAGAAAATTACCAGTCTTCTTATATGCGAGCCAAGCGAGCAAAGGTTGGCAACGTACTTCCCTCGCTTCGGTTCGAAAAATATTTTTCATGTCAAAATAAATGATCGCCACCATCAAGGGTAAACACCCATTTCCTCACAGGGTTGTGCTCTCAGATTTCCAACCTCATACTTAATAATTACTCACGTGAAACATATTTTAATCAGCGTTTTAAGCGCCGCTGTGGGTGTATCAGCTCGTTCTTCGCTTCCATTACCCCTGCCAGATTCCGGTTCAACGGAGTGAAGGAACAGGGGAGTTAACTCTAAAAACACTTGTTGAATCACATGTCAAAAATAACTACTTGCGCAATTACCTCCCTTGCATTCATTCACCCGCTACGTCAGGTGTGTATTTGTTTTTAGTATAAATGTTACGAAAATTGTAACAATAACCACAACATATAAGACACATAATATGCAACCGTTTAAAGGTAAAACTGGGCAATATGATATGTCTTTTTAATTTCTGCTTATTCTTGTTCCTTCACTCCGTTAAACCGGAATCTGGCAGGGGTAATGGAAGCGAAGAACGAGCTGATACACCCCCAGCGGCGCTTAAAACGTTGATTAAAATATGTTTCACGTGAGTAATTATTAAGTATGAGGTTGGAAATCTGAGAGCACAACCCTGTGAGGAAATGGGTGTTTACCCTTGATGGTGGCGATCATTTATTTTGACATGAAAAATATTTTTCGAACCGAAGCGAGGGAAGAACGTTGCCATCCTTTGCTCGCTTCACTCGCATATAAGAAGACTGGTCATTTTCTCTCTGCTGCACAACCCAATTTGCGCTACAGTTTGCCTGTGGTCCGGGTTAGAATGTGCCTTCAGTAACCCATGCTTCTCGTAAGAGGCGACTAAAGGGATCGGGTGGTCAGGCTTGCTGATTTGGTTGACACATGTCATCGGTTCCCTATTACGTAGATCGATGCTCATGCTGTTGATCACTGGATTATCTGGTCCAGACTTGATTATTTACAGACCGCCGTCATATAGCTGGAATATTGCTGAGTGCAGCGTAAAACTAAACTCACTCACTCACTCACTCAATAATCAAGCCTGACCAGACAATCCAGTGACTGACATCATGATAACAATTTAAGCAATTGGGATACGATCACATGCATCATGAAGTCAATGAGTGAACACTCGGTCCCATTAGTCTTCTGATATGACAAGTTCCAATTCTAATGCGTATGTTCATGGATCATATAATATCGCAATATACAATAGGGTACAGGTATCTGTGTTGCGATATGCTGGATTCTACAGTGTTTGACAGCAGTTGACAAGGTTGAAAATGATTGTACATGCAGGTCCTATTTTCTGAACACTAAAGGAAGTATTCCAGTGTTGAAGAAATTGCTTCAGTTACATTTAAACCAAACCATGATGCAGCTGTTTATGTGGCTTTTTGATGTTTCAGGAGGCTAGATTTGCCACGGACACATCCCCACTGTCCATCTTCTATGACGCCACAGTTGCCACGGCAACAGATGCCAAAAACATGCACATGTTGAACCCTAGCGGCAGCATCACAGCCCATCTACTCACTGCCGCCACTCACGTCACCAGTGATGGAGAGGCACTCTTCGTCCTTGCCACAGATGCAGGGGGGATAATTCAGGTCAAAATGCCAGCCATGGGTGTTCAAGGTAAAGTAGAATCCAGACTATGATGACACACATTCTTGTCATGAATGCATTTTTCAATGTTGTTATCACTGTACGTCTGATACTGTGATAGAACATAGGATGCACAGTGAGACCCCGGATATCCGGACACATTCGTTTTTGCGGATAACTGAATATCTGGAATTTTTAAACTTATCCTATCTCACGATTTGCACTTCTACCTCTTGCTTAAACACTGAGTGGAACTGAGATTCCTATGTTGGACAGTGATGATTTTATTGGCGCATCATCAGATGTCTACTCATCGTTCCGCCTCATCAAACGGCTCTGTTGCCAGCTGACGCACACAGTATCTCGATTTCTGTCATCCAGGGTTTGGTGTTGAACGGTAGCGGGCATACATTTCTGGTTTAAATGACTTCCAAACCAGCATGGTCATTTTGATTTGCCAATTAGATAGGCCTACCAATCACCACCAATACCCTACTGATCGGTCATTAATCTGGATTAGTAGACCTTGTCTCGTGTCAAGACACGTGGGACACTCGCGCTTCACTTCACACGGTCAGCGGAAGATCAAAGCTTCGTACGGATGAGTGAGTCAATGTTTTGTTGATTTAGCTGTTTGGTTTGTATAATTTACTGTCCGGGAACGGAAACCACATATCCATTTTAGACAGACACTTTTATAACATAGGAGATTGTTTTTTTATGAAAATTGACCGGAAGGCGAGGTTTACGGATGTTTGGGGTCCGGGTATCCGGGGTCCCACTGTACTTCTAAGTGTTCGAATTTTGGATGGAGATCCAGATACTTGGATACATGGCGTATCCACTAGCCAATAGATATAGCTTGTACCCATCAGGTGGTTGACTGGCTGTGACATTGTTACAGGTGTTGTTCAGCAGCATGAGCTGTCACAGTCCTCCATGATGCAGAAGTTGTGGAACGGCCTAGTTCCTGTCCTCATCAGGTAATACAAGAATCTCCTTCTTCAGTGTTAAAACTCCCAAAATTCCAAGCCAGACACCCGGACTGATAACTTTGAAACAAATACCACTCCAGATACAAACTTGCCTGTCCGTTTTCAACAATGAACTGAAAGTACATGATTGTGATTGGTTATCGTAACATGAACTGTCCAATCGTAAGTAGTTTAACATAATTTTCATAAAACCATAAACATCTCAAACTGACGACAAGAGAACCTGTCTGACATTATGAAATATTTACTGTTAGGGATAAAAATATCTATCAGACCACTGGACAGGCTACTTTTGAAATTTGACCGTCCCAGATGAAAATATACAGTTCGGGACGGTCGGACAGACAGGAATTTTATACGCTGCCTTCTGCCTTCCTGAGTTCTATCCACATGGGTACAATGTGTGAAGCCCATTTCTGGTGTCCCCTGCCGTGATATTGCTGGAATATTGCTAAAAGCGGCGTAAAACTAATCTCAGTCAGTCAGTCCTGAGTTCTAAAGTCAGTGCTACATCTACTGTCCAGAATATGTCAGTAGACTCAGTATCACATGATGTTAATTATTAGTCTTGTTTTGATTCACCAAATAATAGAGTCAATTTAATCTTACACCACTTTTGGCAATATTCCAGCAATGATGGGGGACACCAGAAATGGGCTTCATATTTTGTACTCATGTGGGGAATCGAACCCGGTTCTTCTGTGTGACAAGCTGACACTTTAACCACTGAGCTACCTCCCTACCTCCCTACCCCATAGTAATGTCATCGGAACTATCAATGATTATGTATCTAGTTCATACCTGATTAGTACAGAAACATATTAGTAGGGCTGCAACGATTCGGTTCAATTCATCAAAAATGGATTCGACACCTTTACTTCGATTTTCGATAACCATTATTACTATTTCAATTCGATATCTGAATACTTATTTAAATTATTTCCACACAGCCAGAATATAATTTTGACTCCGACTCGAGCATTTTTTAGTGCTGAAATAAGGCAAAAAGTGATTGGTTGATGCTGGGCTAATTATCCAATGAGAATTGTTGTTAGTAGATATCGCCAAGTTGCTGATGGATTTCACGCTAAAAAGGCAGACTCTGAGAGTTAAATGAAATCTGATGTTTTTACTTGTATGAAGAATCAAATCGAAAATGCCCGAATCAAAGCTCCAATATCAAAAATCGAATCTGATCGAGGTCAGGGTGAATCGTTACAGCCCTAGATATTAGGGGATATTATGATGTATGATTTATGTTTTTTTCTAAAAGCTGTTTGAAATATGTATTTAACATACATGCTGATAAGGTGATCTCAACAGGTCTGATCTACTTCCTGTCTTTTTGATGTGTATTTCATCTCAATAATCTATTTTGGGATAGTTTAATTTGAGCTAGTATTTAGTTGTAAACATCAGCTGCTTCTACAGTGTTTCTAAGCGTTGTATAATTTTTTCAATTAGAATCAAAATTGATTGCCGATGTATGTGAGAGTTCTGATTAGTGATACCTGTGACAACAGCACTATTGATAATTGGAGTGTAATGTTTACTGTGTTTCACATATTCAAACTCAGCTCTAAGTCGCATTCAACATTTATTTTTCCTTATCCTGACTCATACGTTATTGCTTTATCTCCCTTTCTCCTGAGGTATAGTGGAAACCTCTGTCCTATTGTTCCCTAATGAACAGTCAAAAATAGCTCACCCCAAATGGGCCTCTCCAGCTTCCTGTGCCAGTGACATGCAACCAGTGGTCATGTGGGACGCTGGCTCATGAAGTTGGAGAGACCCATTTGGGGTGAGCTATTTTTAACCTTCATTAGGGAACATTAGGACAGAGGTTTCTAGTGTACCTCGGAAGAAAGGGAGATAAAGCAATGAGTCAGGATAAGTATAAAATATCAATTTTATCACAAAAATTACACTTTGTAGAGGGGTGCAGCAAGATGCTGGAACAGCCACTGGCATCGTCATCCATTCCATTCACGGCGAGGATTTCATCTTCTGCGTGTGTCGGGACCACAAACTAAGGATGTGGTCTGCTAAGGTAATATTTGTGTTTGGTTTCTTTCACCACAAAGCATGCCTAGTTCCCTGTGCTTTAAGGGGCGTACATGGCCTAATTATTTGCTATACAGGGTTGCTTCCCTTAACAGTCAGGATGTGCTGCTATTCCCAGATACATAAAGATTGAGATTTGTAGTTTGTCTCAATGTCTGTGCTTGTGTTTTCACATTGACGATCATTATTCAAAGAGGTGTTGACCTAGCTGACTCACTCCCCATTCTTGTCTTAACCAGACAGCAAGATACAATTTTCAGTGCCTATGTTGCTGATGGAGTCTGAAGACAGCATTCGCAGACTCAGTATCTTACTCATGTGTTTCAGTGAGCTCACTGACATATTGTTCATGATTTTAGGACCGCCTCTGTGGTTTAGTGGTTAGAGCATCCATCCACAGAACGGAAGGTCGCGGGTCCGATCCCCGGTCGCACCATACCAAAAGACATTAAAATATGGTACATGTTGTTCCCTGCCTGGCGCTTCGGCAGTAATGGATACAACAAGGACTGGTCGGCTTGGAGTCAGTATAATGTATTTGAGTGGGGTATTCATGCTTAACTGTGGCATGGTATCACAGTGAGCTAGCACTATAAAACCAGCTGAAGTCTGGGCTAGTACGAGCAGCCACACATACACACACATGCACATCGTCATATGAGCTCAATATTCTTAAGTACGACATCAAACCCCATTTCACCTCACCTCATGATTTTAATTGAAACTTCAAATTGATACAAAAGTTTGTAAGAACATTAAGATATGTCAGACTAATGTATTGATAGAGGATGTTGTGTTTTGCAGACAAGAGAGTGCATACTTGCCTACAACCTGCTGGATTTCCTGTCCTCACGGGACCAGTCCTTGCCACCGGTCACCAGCAGTAAGATACAGTTATCTCCCCTTGGTTAACAGCCTTAGTCATGTTACCTATCATTTCACCAGAAGTAACCCTACATTGCTGTCTTCTCCCATTTACTAACACATACAACCATGTCACTTAAAACTGATAGACATGTTTGTGCTGATTATTTGGTGATGGATGTCCCGAGCTTTACATTTATTCACATAATAATCTGTAATGCACAGTTTGAGTAAGAAATTACACAGTGGCATGTCAAGAAAGAATATGCAAAAGTAATATAGAATGTCATTCCCTGAAAAGAATCATGAAAGATAGCCTTTCTCATGACATACTGTTGTCTTATTGTGATCTCATGAACACGATGGACCATGCCTGACATTGTAACGCTACAACTGGCATGAACACAATGGACCATGCCTGACATTGTAACGCTACAACTGGCATGAACACGATGGACCATGACTGTAACGCTACAACTGGCATGAACACGATGGACCATGCCTGACATTGTAACGCTACAACTGGCATGAACACGATGGACCATGACTGACATTGTAACGCTACAACTGGCATGAACACGATGGACCATGCCTGACATTGTAACGCCACAACTGGCATGAACACGATAGACCATGCCTGACATTGTAACGCCACAACTGGCATGAACTTTTTCAACTCACTTGCTATTGCAGCCTCCGGTCATGTGATAAAGAAGGTGATCAACCCGAAAAACAACTCCTTCCAGCTGTGTGTCCATCTTACTTTCCCCGACCAGAACCAGGTATGTGCTTGAACTGCCACAGTATGCCTGTTGTTTAACGCTGCACCCAGCGAGGATCAGACGATCCAGTGACTACATGTGAACGTCCGGTTAGAATTGGACTTCAGTAACCCATGTTTGTCGTAAGAGGAGACTAACGGGATCGGGTGGTCCGGCTGGCTGACTTGATTGACACATGTCATTGTATCCCAACTGGACCCATGACGGTCCGGGTTAGAATATTGATCTTCAGTAACCCATGCTTGTCGTAAGAGGCGACTAAAGGGATCGGGTGGTCAGGCTCTCTGACTTGGTCGACGCATGTCATCGGTTCCCAATTGCGCTGATCGATGTTCATGCTGTTGATCACTGGATGTTCTGGTCCAGACTCAATTAATTACAGACTGCCGCCATATAGCTGGAATATTGCCGAGTGTGATGTTAGCAACAAACCAACAGTCCATTGACTGACTTCATGAACATCCAACAGCAGTTAGGATATGTACTGACATTAACCAATAAGTGAGCTTCACCAACAAGTCTTGTTTGTGGCTTCTTACAACAAGCATAAGATACTGAAGACCTTGAAGGGCCCAAAAACCCTACATGGATTTATTTTCAAATTGAGGACCACCTCCGCGGTGTAGTGGATAGAGTGTCAGCCCGGAGAGCGGAAGGTCGTGGTTTCGGACATTAAAATATGGTACTTGTTGGTCCCTACCTGGTGCTTGGCATCAATGGGTACAGAAAGGACTGATCGGCTCGGAGTCAGTATGTGTCTGAGTGGGGTATTCATGCTTAACTAAGGCATGGTATCTCAGTGGACTAGCACTATAAAACCAGCTTAAGTCTGGGCTAGTACAAGCAGCCGCACATACACACACATGCACGTCGTCATGTGAGCGAAATAATCTGAAGTGTGGCGTTGAACCACCTCACCTTTTCAAATGGTGTGCCAATATGCCATAGAGATCGAAATTGATAACAGTGACCTTGACCTATATTTTGAATGTCATTGATGGCAGTTGATGTATGAACTAAAATAATTCTAAATATCCATCCTTTGGATTTTATCTGTATTTTGTTGAGAAGTACACAGACAGTAATTGAAATTAATGACCTGCAAAATTTGGTGCTCACGCCATCAATCACTGGATTGCCAGATGTTTGTGTTTCTGTGGTAAGTGGGATGTGAAAGACTTCAGGACAATTGTCTTGGGTGTTGTTGTTCAAAACAACCTGAGCGCTAAGACTACCTTAAATCTGTATGGGAGTTTCAGTCACCATAACGCTAAGATGGCTTTGTACAACAGCACCCCGATCTTCTTTGGGCAGTGGGGTAGATCTAGACCATTACAGACAGCGCCACAGACACACGTGCATGCATGTCACTATGGAATTGGCGTAATCTTCAACATGGTGTTTAACCTCATTCCATCTCTCCTATTCCTTCTGTGTGTTACAGTTCTGCCTTGTGAAGCCGGTGTACAATGACAGCAGGTTTCACATCCAGCACCAGGCTACAGTGTTTGGACCCTTGGTAAGTCTGTAGTGTCATAAAGATGGTGTCACACTCTAAACAGCCTGGCACCTTGAGAATTCACATGGTGAATGGAGTCTGGATTTGTCTTGCGTCTTAATAGAGGAGGCTTGTCATTTTGTCGCCATCATCATCATCATTGTGATATGTATATGAATTTGAAATGATCAAAAAAGAAAACACTAAATTCAGAGAGAGTTTTTAATTCAAATGACTTTTTAAAACTAGTTATTAGTCATCATGGCATTGTACATCATTGCAGTCGATATTGTTGAAATTGATTTCTGCCCAGGGTGACCTTGTAACTGGATAAAATTTACCATTTTCCTATGACCTACGTTATGAGAATGTTTTGCTCTGTATTATGAAATTAAACAATCTATTCTTCTTCTCATTTTTGAATGTGAAAATATAAACATTTAACAACTACTGGTAATGAGATTTTATTTATCCTCTAAAAACATGATCATTTTTTGCTGCAGGAAGATCTAGTAGACTATTGTGTGACGTCTGACAAACTCTACACGCTGTGGACCAGCCAATCAGGGAGACAATTTCTCGAGTAGCAATCATTGCCGGGTAGGTGGTTTTATTATTCAAGAATTTTGTAAGTCAACTAAACTGCTATTATGGTGAAAGCATTTCACAGGAACATCAAACTTTTCATGATTGTTGAAACTTATGATGTGAATTGTTCAGGGCCGACAGTGATGACACCGAGTCATGGGTGGAGGTGTTGCTGCAGCCCCAGGAGGTGGCCGATATCCTCATCCCTTCATTCCGAGACCCCCGTGACGTTTACCTGGAGAGGATCTTCCACCCAGGCAGGTTCTCCAGTCAAGACCTGCTCAAGGCTCTCAATGTGAGTGTGGATGGCTTGCATTTTAATATTAAAGGTTCTTCTAAAAGTTACAGGGCAATGGGATAGCCTTGTGGTTAAAGCATTCGCTCATCACTCCGAAGACCCGGGTTCGATTTCCCTTATGGAGACAATGTGTAAAGTCCATTTCTGGTGTCCCCTGCCATGATGTTGCTGAAATATTGCTAAAAGCGACATAAAACCACACTCACTCACTCTAAAAGTTACACTTGAAACAGTTATTTTGCCTTATCCTGACTCATGCTAAATGCTTGTCTCCTTCTTCTTGCAAATGATAGTGGAACACTTGAAATCCCTTGAAGTTCCCTTCTAAAAAGCGGACGTAAAATCATCACTCACCCACGAGTAGCCCCCTTTGCCTCCTTTAAGCCCTTTTGGTCACATGACCAGTTATGTTTGTCACTCTCTCCTTCTTCTCCCATTGAGGATGGTTGTGAGAGCAAATGTTTTGATATTATGTCCTAAATTATCGTTGTTTGCCATGTTTTCATCTGGTTTACAAATTGATGAAAACTTGTATTTGTTGTAGGTACCGGCTGTCTGTGGCTGACCTGCATTTATTATGTACTAATTGCACTTCCATAGTATGACCAGAAATTTAGATTGGATTTCTAGTATAAACAACTTTGACCAGCTATCAAGTGCTTGGTTTCATTCAAGAGAGACAACTCTGTTAATCCTTTTTCATTAGTTTGTGAAGAGTTATCCCCTTTGTTTACTTGCTAGCAGAGCGACATTTTCAGTGATCCTCAGTATTGATGATTTAGAGAAGAGGAAGTTGATTTTAGATTATTATAACAAGGACATCAGATCAGCTAAAGTGATTTCAAGTAGAACAGGCATCCCTTTGTCCGAAGTTTTAGGTGCTTCCACTCAGTCTTCTAGACACGTGTTCACTCGTGTAACTCCAGCACAAGCTGAACAGAAAGGTTATGGACAAGGCCGAGTGTTGGCGAAGAAATCAACGACTGCACAAGATTCTACGAGGATCATTTACCTGCAACACCAGTGATGTCACAGTCATGTGCCAGGAAGTCATCTACAGTTGTAAACAACTCTTTCAGCGTGGGAAAGGCTCCATTTACAGTCCAGTTAGCAGGGATACGAAGCGTGATTGACTATCTTCACGGGTCCTAGAGGACTTCCCCTGTCAGCAGATTTAATATCGGTTATCTTGGGACTTGCATCGACAAGCTTTAGACGGTTTCTGCTCGTGGCAGCCAGTCAACTAATAGACTTCACATCGATGGCAGTTCCAGTACATCATAGATTTTTGCTGATCTAGAGGCGGCGTATTATGCATCATCGCTGCACATTGTTCGGATTCTGGTAACAACATCTTCATTACATATTACGGAAGATTGATGAGACAAGCTTCAAGCCATGATTCCAGAATCGATCATCTCTTAAGCTTCCATGGCGGACATGACAAGGGTTCCTAGATCCACTTACCTACAGCGTGGGACATGATTACAGTAGATGGCTAGTAATGTCCTAATCGGAGTTGGAACCAAAACAGGATCTTCAATTCTCTGAATATGGCTCTTCACACCACAGAATCACATGAGTAGTCCCAGAGGATCGTTGGGTCAAGAAACAACATATATGATATTTCAAGCAATGGTCTCTCCGTTGACACTACGTGCTTGGCAAAGCATGCTTTCGGTCTACTCACCTCAGCTCAAGACACTGACTCACAGAGGGAGATTACAGCTGTGCCCACTACAAATATTTGAGACCCGTCGACATTTGCCTGATACTACCAGACAGCCTGAAACCATACCTTCTATGGTGGACTCAGAAGTCGAATGTTTCGCGGAGGTCAGAGCCGGTATGCAACACTCATCTCGTGGATGCATCACTACAAGGATGGGGTGCTCACCTCGGCGACAAAGTGGCAGCAGGAAGTGGTCGAGTCAGCGAGTCAGGATCAGAGTCTGCACATCAACCTGTTGGATGAAAGCAGTGATCAGCGCTTTACAACACTGGTCCAGCGTGCTAAGGAGCGCCAAGCTCACGGTCCACACGGACAACTCAACAGTAGCATTCTACATCAACAAACAAGGATCATCAAGTCTGCTAAAAGCTTTCTCCTGTTCAGCATCGTTCGGCGACCTGAACATTTACATGAAGGCATGCCACATTCCTGGAGCAAAGAATGTCATAGCAGGCGCCCTATCTAAATCCACTACAACCATCCCGGCGGAATGGATGTTACATCCAGAAGTGTTCGGTTCGTCATACAGACAATAGGATCTCCACTGATAGACCTGGTTTGCAACAAAGTTCCACAAACAACTACCAACATTACGTCCTAACTGATTCTGGATCCTCAGGCATGGGCAACAGATGCTTTAAGCATCTCATGGAAAAGGACTAAGCGGTTCAGCGTTTCCAACTCCAGCACTATTACCACAAGTAATACAGAAAATCAAGCAGGCGACAGCGTTGCAGCTGATTTTGATCGCACCTTATTGGCCAGCGAGGGTATGGTTTCCCATCCTCATACAAGAACTTGGAAGTCCAACCTTGTAACTACCAGAGTGGTCGAACCTGCTTTCGTCCATCCACACACCAAGCAAGCTCACGGGAATCCGGCATTGTTCCAGCTACACCGCGTGAGCATATCAAAGCTTGCCTGAAGACTAGAGGGTACTCCGCCAGAGCAGCCGAAAGCAGTGACACTTAGCTCTCATGAGATCAACTTGCAACTTGTACCGACGACAAGTGGTAGAGATTTGAACAGTATGCAGCGAGGAAAGGCTTTACAGCGGTAAAAGCAACCCATCCTCAAGTGGCGGAATACCTGTGTCATTTGGCGACCAGGCGAGACACTTAAAAGGTTCAACACTCTCAGCGTGCCTGGCTGCTCTCAGCACAGTTATCACCATGAAGGCGGGTGTCAAGCTGACCAAAGTACCAGAGATACAGGCACTACTATGCTCATTCAAGATGGAAGACCAACAAAAGAAATTTAAGTCTCCTGCCTGGGATCTCAGCGTGGTTCTACAACATCTCACCAGTGGCGTCTACGAGCCTCCAGAATGGACATCCTTTGAACTACTGACACAGAAAACACTGTTCCTGATCGTGTAGCAACAGCAGCACGGATGTCAGAAATACAGGACGTGAAAACAGCAGCCAGTGAATCCAGGAAGTGGCCTGACCCACCACCGATTCCTGGCCGGATTCTGCAAGCATTTAGCATGAGTCAGGATAAGGAAAAAATATGTAATTTTCTGACTAAAATTGATGTTTATACTTATCCTGACTGATGAGTTGTTAGCCCTCCCAACCTCTGGATTTCCCTGTAAATCCGGGATGTCGGGCATTCATACGGAGAGAGTGACAAGGCATGGTCGGTCAGGTGTCCAAAAGGGCGCCAAAGGGAGGAAAGGGACGCTACTCTGGGTGAGTGATTTTACGTCCGCTTTTTTAAAGGGAACTTCAAGGGATTTCAAGTGTTCCACTATCATTCGCAAGAAGGAGACAAGCATTTAGCATGAGTCAGGATGAGTATAAAATATAAATTTTAGTCAGAAAATTACATTTTTCATCAAGAATTATTGGTTCATTGTAAGCGATGTACAAAGGATGTCTATTACCCAAAAGAGTGATAATGCATAGTAATACCCCAAAATTGGGCCGACCTTGTGCAAATTTCCATGCCTGTTTTTGATTTTGTTCAATGCTTAGTTCACTGTTTAGTTGTTAGCAGTGAACATGAACACATTTAAATTATGAAAATCATAACCAGGGCTCAACATCCATGTAGTAGAAAGGCAGGGTTTAACTCAGAGGCACAGTTGACATAATTTCCTGGTGTCTGGAGCTCAGCTTGGAAGTAGCAGCATTATTTTTATGAAATACCTTGTGAAATGTGTATCAAATGAAACCAGTGGTACATTTTTCACAGGGTCATATTTTAATCCAGAAAAACATTCAAAAGGAGTTCATAGACACACATTCATGTTACGGCTTAGCATTATTCTTAAAATAAACTGAAACTGAACAGTATGTTCTTAATCACAAAGAAAATGAAGGGGACACTCATACTCAATTACTAATGACCATTATTGAGCTCATTTTGAAGTGAGATTTTTCATCTTCGAATAGACCCGTGAAGATCCAGGGTAGAATAGGTCTTCAGCAACCCATGCTTGTCACAAAAGGCGACTATGCTTGTCGTAGGAGGCGACTAACGGGATCGGGTGGTCAGGCTCGCTGACTTGGTTGACATCGGTTCCCAATTGCACAGATTGATGCTCATGCTGTTGATCACTGGATTGTCTGGTCCAGACTCGATTATTTACAGACTGCCACCATATAGCTGGACTATTGCTGGGTGCGGCGTAAAAGTAAACTCACTCACTCAATCATCTTAAAATATTGATAAAAAATCTCTTAAATCAAAGGGGCATGCCATAACATGTTTATGATTGCTCATGTTCACAAAATACATTTCTGTGTCTGCTTTCTGCAATACTCCTACAACAAAGACTGGCCATTGCAGGTGTACAGACGTTCCCTGGACACAGGTCTGCAGGCTGAGAGTATCGTCAGCATGTCCAACCTACGGGAGGAGGTTGTCAGCTGCTGTGGAGTCTGAGGTAGGTGTTTGTAGTGGTTCGAAAATCGTTTGTGTTCGATTTTGAAAAATGTGATCGTTAGGTCACTGCCACCAATCTTCGATTATTTGAATTAATCGGAACACCACTAGGTGTTTGTATCAAGAATCCAAGATTGTGCATCAAGAAACTTGTCTGCATTAAGAAGGTTAGAGATTAATGGAACAATGTGTGATGGTTGTGTTTTCCCTTCCCAGATCAGGAACTGTGCCCTGGATGTAGAGATGCAGGAGGAGGACTACTACCAGCTGCAACTGGAACAGTGGAGCAAGTTCTACTCCTGCTGTATACAGTACCAGGAGGTGGGTGATATAACGGATAACATGCCTGGTGGTGGGTGATATAACAGATAACATGCCTGGTGGTGGGTAGTACAACAGATAACATACAATGGGGGGTGTAGTATAACAGATAATCTACCAGGGAGGGTGTAGTATAACAGATAACATACCTGGTGTTGGGTAGAGTAACAGATAACATACCTGGAGGTGCGTAGTATAACAGATAACATACCAGGAGGTGGGTAGTACAACAGATAATACCAGGGGGTGGATAGAGGAACAGATAACATACCAGGAGGTCGATAGTATAACAGATAACATACCAGGAGGTGGATAGTATAACAGATAACATACCAGGAGGTGGATAGTATAACAGATAACATACAAGTAGCTTTGTAGTTTAAAGTGAAATACCAGGAAAATAAAAAAAATGAAAATAAATGACAAACTTAATATGTTTCTTTTGTTTGTTTGTGAAAATAAATCTCGTTAAGAACATTTGGTATGTTGATAATGTGTTCATGGTCATAGGAGAAATATGTAGTATGCTGGAGTTCAAAAGCAGGGCTCAATTTAGTGCTTTGTTACTTGCACTGGTGCAACACAATATTACAAAGTGCAACCCAGTTATCAGTCTTAACTTGCACAAGGTGCAAGTTAAATTTTGAGAATTTAATCAACAACAAATCTAACATAAGCATAAATATGTCAGCTCATTTTTCTTCTAAATTTTGAATAGCTATGGCACTGAAATATTGCTATTCATATATACGTTTCAGCTATGACAGCTCTTGTAAACGGGATCAGCTGTGTCTCTGTGTTGCTATGGTTTCATAGGTACTACATCACGGAAATATGTTGATGTGCACCGAAACCTCTGACGTTTTAACACACTACGTTGCAACTGAAATTTGGCTGGTGCAACTAGGTTTTATCTTAGGTTGCAAGTAGATTAACCTCTCTTAAATCGAGCCCTAAAGAGATATTGACACAGCTGTAAAGGCTTTGAAAGGGACAGTTGAAAAGCCTGGAAAAGGTTTTGTATTTTGGTGTTCACATATAATAAAGGTGATGTCAGTGATGTGTTGGCTTGTTTACAGGTTGGTGCCAAAGTGAAAGGCTTGTTCTCGGACAGTGTCACCGGGCTGGTTTGCCTCATCAGGAAGGTAAGCAATGCAGTGTTTTGTTCAGTTGGGATTTGGGGATAGAGAAAAACTATGTATCCCATGTCTGTTATTACAGCTGACTATTGGTTGTCTTGGCAGATTCAGTGTCACCATGCCTTTACAAAGGGAAGTGTTGCCACAGTTTGACTTGAATTGTCTGATTCGAAGTCATTGTTATGAATACTTGTGTATCCTTGGCAACATAATGTCATGAAAGCACATTGGACCACCAAATAAAATACTTCACTTCAGAAGTGGTGTCATCTTCAGTGTTCTTATCACTAACTTTCGTACTTTAGCTTTGTACCACCTGAATCAGGTGTTCATCATGATAGAGTGTCATCGGGTCAAGGATGCGGTTTTTCAGCTTGCTCTTTCCTTACTATTGAAATAACATTCAACTTCTCACATCCTTGTCTTCCCGAGCCATGGGAATCATATCAGTTGCTGTTGCATCATGATGATAGTAAAAATCTGTTAATGCCACAGTAGTCGACCAAACTACCTGTTTGAATTTTGAGTCAGAATTGGTCCCTTGTAACCTGTAGTAGGTGCAAGAGGAAACTTAAAGACGGAATGGTCAGACTTAATGTTTGTTGATGTTGTGAGAACATACTGAGAGCTTTGATTGTTGCTCATGATATCCATCACTTGTTGTGTGGTCCAGACCTCAGACTTACAGATAACCTGCGTATATGCATAAATTACTTATTTATGTGAAAACTCAATTCCTATTAAGTCTAATAAGCGCCCAAGTAGTAGTGGTGGTCCGGATTACTTGAAATAATCGAATGGTCAGACTAAATGTTTGCAATCCATCATGTTTTTCATAACATACGAGAGCAAACAATTTGGAACATTTGTTGTCATCAACAATATGTTTCACTAGGTTGGTTTTGTCTGTTACATTTAAGTAAGCATTACAAGCTCGTTCCAAGTCAGGATTGAAGTTATCTTAAAGACACCAAGAAATTTATGTTCCTAGCATACTAGTCATCCTTCAAAGATGTGAAATTTAGCCAAAACACCAAAAAATAACTACATGGTTTTTTCCTTATTTTTTTGTGCATTAACAAATTTCATAAATGACGCTTAGCCAATTATTTTCGATGAATGATCGGGTGGTAATGAACTAATCATCAATTATACTCCCAACACTAGTTACAAGCGGCTTGATCTTTTGTATGCAATAAATTTGATCTTACATGCGTACACACAAAAATGTGATAGATATTACCGAGGTCAGATCAAATAACTGAGGCATACTGAGAGATTCTATTTCCGCACATGAACTTGACAACGTACAATCTTATTGTTTCTCATATTACAGATAAAATAACAAACACGTAAACCAACATTTAAACTTTATTGTATTTTTACAATTACAGTCAAATGATGAGTCAAAATAATCTCAATATCATGCATTTGAGTACCTGAGGTGGGTTACAGTATCATTTGATTTCCGTTACTCAAAGGATAAATTATGATACCCAATTGAATGATGTATACAAAAGCTTGAAGTACAATAGAAGTTGATTGGTGTAGCAAACTGACCAATTAACAAACCAGGTTATCTGTAGCTCTGAGAGTTCAAAGGCAGATTAGTGATTTTACAAGGTTGTGGACTCTGATAAGGTTAAATGATAGAAATCATTAGATAAACAAATGCTTAGGCAGTTAGGACTGGATCATCTTTATTTCACCCTCATAGACATACCTCTTACTTGATAAGTCACATTGTACTTGGTCATCTCATCGGGTTTGACTGTCATATGAGTTTGAGGAGGTGGGTACAGGGTTACTCAAAGTCATGCCCAATTGAGATGAACGTCTCAATGACCATGGTGTACTCTGAGACCTGATACTTGTGGTCAGGGATGCAGCAGTAAACAACATGCATTCTTACCACATTGTACCAGTTGTATTTCGGGGGTCGGGTCGCTGATGTGACAAACTGGAGGAGCTCTACTGCTTGCCACAGTCCCAGTTGTCCAGCTCTCAGCTGCCCACTGATGGTCAGTCCTGTAACCTTTCCCAGGGCTCGATTTAAGAGATTTAAACCTACTTGCACCAGGTGCAACCTAAGATAAAACCTAGTTGGTCAAATTCCAGTTGCACTGGCAATATGTAATATCAAAATATGCTTTGAATTATTTAGATGTTTTATTCAGAAGTTCATCCATTTGACTTTAGCCTGGTGCAATCAATAACTAGGTTGCAGTCTCTGAACAACCCCCTTCTAGCAGTTTCTTTGTAAGGATTGTGGCAACCTTCTATTTTGAAGTGGCATTTAGAAGTTGTGCAACAGAGGAGAGTTCTGTGGATATACAACTTCTTTAAAATTAATATGAGAGACGTTTCGGTGTAGCTACTAACACCGTTATCAAGCAAGTGATGTACAATAGTTAGTTAGTTGCTATATTTAGCGTCGCACACACAACTAAGGTATTTCAGCGACGAGGTAGTACACTTATTAAGAAATGCGGGGGAACAAAAAAATAGAAATTTTGAAAGGGTGGTGTTACTTCCCTTAAAAAAAAGAAAAGATGTACAATACTACAGGCAAGGCTATATATATATACATAGCAAAGTTAGAACAGTAAGTGATTGATGTTTGCACAATTAATGAGGTTGATGTACAAGGTAGGAGGATGTTTACACAAGAAGGCAATTGTTACTCAAACAGAATAAGCTAGGGGGGGGATTATTGGGAGGAAGTGATATGACCGATAGGAGAATAATGGGATTGGGGCAGTGGGGTAGCCAAGTGGTTAAAGTGTTTGCTCATCAAGCCAAAGACCCAGTTCGATTCCTTACATGGTTACGATGTGTGAAGCCCAAATCTGGTGTCCCCCATCGTGATATTGCTGGAATATTGCTAAAAGCAGTGTAAAACTAAACTCACTCACTCACTCACTCACTCACTCACTCTTCATAAGGATTAAGGTGATCAAAGTCTCTTTGGAGCACTAGATAAATTTGTGAAATATTCTTTTTAATGTTGCGTGTTCAGGTGGAAACATTTTAGTTTCTTCTCTTCCGACACTTGGATGTTTTGGACCTGTGATAGCTCCACTAGATGAGGGGAAGGGCTCATTATTGCAAGAAGGCTGATTTAAGAGGTTTTGAGAAGTATTTTCTCAAATTGGAACATTACTCAAATAGAAGTTCTCACTAGAATGTGACCGCCTCCGTGGTGTAGTGGTTAGTGCATCCACCCGGAGAGCGGAAGGTCGATGGTTCGATCCCCGACCGCGTCATACCAAAAGCCGTTAAAATATGGTACTTGTTGGTCCCTGCCTGGCGCTTGGCATTAATGGGTACATCAAGGACTGGTCGGCTCGGAGTGGGCTAGCACTATAAAACCAGCTTAAGTCTGGGCTAGTACAAGCAGCCGCACATACACATACACACGCATGCATGTCGTCATATGAGCGAAATATTCTCAAGCACGACGTTAAACCCAATATCACATCACCTCACCTCACTAGAATGTAGGTCAAGATTGTAGTGCACTGTCATGTCACTGTCATCACAGATTTGTTCATTATTGTGTCAAAGTTCTCTTCAAAATTCAAAATAGTTACACCAGCCGTAGTCCTCTTCTTGATGATGCCAAATATCTATTACTTGGTAATGATAGAAAGGGAAAGGATTGTTCTTAGGCATACAAACATGTCGGATAACTTTCATGACAATATTTCAAAATTATTCACCATTTCTGGAGAAACTCTGTTCCTGCTCCTTCTCATGGCAATATAATGAATGAAACTTCTGCTCACATTAAAACTAGTCCCTACTATAGTCCGGTGTTCGAGAACGAATGGAGACGGCACAGCACAGGTTAATGAATAAATAACTTTGTCTGTGAACGTGCTTCTCGAACACCTGGCTGTCCCTTTCTCTACACTCCTCCCTCGTAACAAACAGTGAACTGTGCCAATATTTTAATGATAGTTTGTTAACAACTTTTTTATTTTTAGGACAAAAATTCTTCAAAAAACCTCACAGAGTGGGTATGATGCTTTGATTATGATCAGCGTTTCATTGAGTATTTTATGTTTATTAGTTTTCGAGTTAGATTGCAATTCATCGGTCCGCTTTTGAGCCAAACGGACTGTAGTAACTTAATATTTTAACCAGTGACAATGTTCAAAATGAAACCTGAAACTCAAGGACTCGTTATAACTGAAGATCTAGGGGGCCCTGACGTACAAGTACAGTGGCAACAAGGATCTTGGAAACACTGATTTCCAAACACTACTTGTAACATGATGTCCCAGCAGATCATTCCGTTCCAGCAACTCACTTCTTCTCTCCCAGCCAACCACCACTACTATTTGTGATAGAGCCTTCTCAGCTGCAGCCCCACTACTCTGGAACAGCCTCCCTATCACTATCAGAGAATTCAACTCTAAAGACTCTTTTAAAAAAGCCTTAAAACCCATCTGTTCACAATATTCCTCTCATAGTCTTTTCAGACTTTCTTCTTCAGCGCCGTTGAGCAAATACTTTTTGGAATTAGTTGCTATATAAATTCATTATCATTATCATGATGTAACAGCCTTGAAATAAATGTGTGTGCAGACTGGAGCCTGGGCCAGGATGTGATGAAGCTGTGTGAATGTGTGCGGGACATCAGCAACGAGATGACGGAAGAGCTGTCCACACAGTTCCACACCGAGGCTGGCATGTTCGAGTCACCAGAAGATGTGGTGTCACCCATGGTTGACGCCCTCTTCTTCCCTCCAGGGTCAGTAACTCATGTGTGTTCATCTCAGCTTCAAGTTTCTTCTGAGTCATTGACGCTGCTTAGAGACATAATACAATACTGTTGACATAACAGTAAATTAAAAAAAATATACTTGATTGTAAACCAAAAGTCACTGTGTTCTTTAATCTGATGGTATTCGAGCAAATGGTATTCGATTCCCGGAAATTCGCTGCGTATTGATACATACAAACATCGCTCACACCATTGTATTGTTACGTTGTCAGCTGTGATGACGTCATATAAAATCATATTGTGACGAAAGTCCGAATGACGTCACAAATGAGCAGGTCCAGATGCTACCATGGGAGACAGCCGTAACGGCCGGCTGATGACATTTCACTGCTGTACCCGTACTCGATGTCAATGAGTGCAGACACAAAAACGTGTGTGGACCTTTTGGTTTACTTTTGTGTTTACAATGTCGATAAACATCATGTGTTGGCCAATTTCCGGTTGTTATTGAGTATTTGAAACACGGGAATATTTTCATTTGAAACCTCCGGCTGACACCGGATGTTTCAAATGAAATATTCCCGAGCTTCAAATGCTCAATAACATCCGGAAATTGGCCAACACATGATGTTTATCTCCTAAATAAGATATGCAAAGCACACTATAATCATCCTTGGTTTGTAAACTAAGTATACTTCCTCCTTGGATGCTGCAACGTAATTTGCTGAGTCCCTTCTCCATCCAGCTGGCTTGACGGGATAGACTGTTCCATATATTCTGATGTCATGAGGAACGATAAATCTACATCCAGCTGGCTTGACGGGATAGACTGTTCCAAATATTCTGATGTCATCAGGAACGATAAGTCTACATCCAGCTGGCTTGACGGGATAGACTGTTCCATATATTCTGATGTCATCAGGAACGATAAGTCTACATCCAGCTGGCTTGACGGGATAGACTGTTCCATATATTCTGATGTCATCAGGAACGATAAGTCTGGATATTGAAGGTTTCATTTAGGGCATGTGTCTTGTAGGGAATCTCCAGAATAAAGAATGAAATATTGCAAATACTGTTGCCCAAATAATGTGACTTAACTGACCAGGTGTGCGTCCATCTTGTACAACCATATCCACTTGTACATGTCCTCACTGACTTCACTCTATCTAGAGGTGACTCCTTGCTGGCCACGGATGTGGGTGACCGTTTGGAGGAGATACACAACCTGGTCTCAGCCCTGCGTGTCCTGCTCAAGATCCTTGACCTCAGCAACCAAGAGGAAGACTTCATGTTGGATGACTCTGGTGAGTGTCTGATGGATGGTAACTGTGGTCTGATGGATGGTAACTGTGGTGTCCGATGGATGACTTTGGTGTCTGATAAATGATTGTGGTGTCTGATGGATGGTAACTGTGGTGTCCGATGGATGACTGCAGTGTCTGATGGATGACTGTGGTGTCTGATGGATGACTGTGGTGTCCGATGGATGACTGTGGTGTCTGATGGATGACTGTGGTGTCTGATGGATGACTGTGGTGTCTGATGGATGACTGTGGTGTCTGATGGATGACTGTGGTGTCTGATGGATGACTGTGGTGTCTGATGGATGACTGTGGTGTCTGATAGGTGCCTGCGGTGTCCGATGGATGACTGTGGTGCCTGATGGATGACTGTGGTGTCTGATGAATGACTGTGGTGCCTGATGGATGACTGTGGTGTCTGATAGATGCCTGCAGTGTTTGATCGATGACTGTGGTGTCTGATGGATGACTGTGGTGTCTGATGGATGACTGTGGTGTCTGATGGATGACTGGAGTGTCTGATGGATGACTGTGGTGTCTGATGGATGACTGTGGTGTCTGATGGATGACTGTGGTGTCTGATGGATGACTGTGGTGTCTGATGGATGACTGCAGTGTCTGATGGATGACTGTGGTGTCTGATGGATGACTGTGGTGTCTGATGTCTGTGCCTACTGCGGTGTCCGATGGATGACTGTCTGATGGATGACTCATGATGGATGACTGGGGTGTCTGATGGATGACTGGGGTGTCTGATGGATGACTTGGGTGTCTGATGGATGACTGGGGTGTCTGATGGATGACTGGGGTGTCTGATGGATGGATGACTGATGGATGACTGTCTGATGGATGACTGGGTGTCTGATGGATGGTAACAGTGTCTGATGGATGACTGCAGTGTCTGATGGATGATATTGGGTGATGGATGGATGACTGCAGTGTCTGATGGATGACTGGGGTGTCTGATGGATGATAACAGTGTCTGATGGATGACTGCAGTGTCTGATGGATGACTGGGTGTCTGGATGGATGTCTGATGGATGACTGTGTGTCTGATGGATGACTGCAGTGTCTGATGGATGACTGGGGTGTCTGATGGATGACTAACAGTGTCTGATGGATGACTGTAGTGTCTGATGGATGACTGTGGTGTCTGATGGATGACTGGGTGTGTCTGATGGATGACCGCAGGTGTCTGATGGATGGGGTGTCTGATGGATGGTAACAGTGTCTGATGGATGACTTCGGTGTCTGATGGATGACTGCTGATGGATGACTGGTGTCTGATGGATGGTAACAGTGTCTGATGGATGACTGGTGTCTGATGGATGACTGCAGTGTCTGATGGATGACTTGGGTGATCTGACTGGATGTCTGATGGATGACTGCAGTGTCTGATGGATGACTGGGATGTCTGATGGATGACTGCAGTGTCTGATGGATGACTGGGGTGTCTGATGGATGACTGGTGTCTGATGGATGACTGGATGTCTGATGGATGACTGGTGTCTGATGGATGACTGCAGTGTCTGATGGATGACTGCAGTGTCTGATGGATGACTGGGGTGTCTGATGGATGGTAACAGTGTCTGATGGATGACTGTAGTGTCTGATGGATGACTGTGGTGTCTGATGGATGACTGGGGTGTCTGATGGATGACTGGGGTGTCTGATGGATGGTAACAGTGTCTGATGGATGACTGGGGTGTCTGATGGATGACTTGGGTGTCTGATGGATGACTGGTGTCTGATGGATGGTAACAGTGTCTGATGGATGACTGGTGTCTGATGGATGACTGCAGTGTCTGATGGATGACTGGGGTGTCTGATGGATGACTGCAGTGTCTGATGGATGACTGCAGTGTCTGATGGATGACTGGGGTGTCTGATGGATGACTGGGGTGTCTGATGGATGGTAACAGTGTCTGATGGATGACTGTTGTGTCTGATGGATGACTGCAGTGTCTGATGGACAGTGAGAACTAATCTCTCAATCTGTCATTTCCCAGATGGATAATTAAAATCTAATGTCAAACTGTCACAATGTACTGCATTATAAGTTTACCATTCTTCCTCTTGCAGCTGTAGATGCGTCCCGCCAGCTCAGCTGTAGCCAGCTGTTTACCAGCTCCTCCTCCTCAGCCATCCTGGCTGTGTGCCTGGAGCAGATGTGTACAACCCGGCTGTCATTCTGCCGAGACCTCCTGGTGCTGCAGGTGGCCGCCATCAAACTCGGAGACCAGGTAAAACAGATAGATGTTGCTCATGTCCTGGTCACTGACCTGTGGGGGGCACACATCAAACTCGGAGACCAGGTAAAACAGATAGATGTTGCTCATGTCCTGGTCACATGATCATGTTGCAGTCAGCTTGGACCTCCATCAGGATATTGTCACAAAACACATTAGTGTTTTTTATTTGTCTGTTTATTGTCTGAACCAGCAGGGTTTAGAAATTAACCCGTTGAGTCTACTGGCCCAGATTGGGATAATTTGTACTTATGTTCTCTTACAATTCTTTAAAAAAAATTTTTTTTTTTTTTTTTTTCAATATTTTTATTCATTTCAGTGGAGCATACAGGATGGCATAAGGACGTTTGATGAAATAGTAGACAAGCATTTCAGTGAAGCATGCAGGATGACATTTGAGTATCATTTGGTGAAATAGTAAAACAAGCATTTCAGTGAAGCATACAGGATGGCATTTGAGTATCATTTGATGAAATAGTAAAACAAGCATGACATATGCATCAAGTACTAAGAGGGTATAGTCTCGAGCCCAACACATATTACACTTGATTTTCGTAAAATATCATTGTACAAAAAATAGTATAGTGAAAAATCCGTATGACATAGTATACATTTTGGTCCAGCCAGAACAATACTGTACATAGCGCATGGTACGCTTATAGAAATAAGTATTGTTATTTGAGAAATAGCACACAGTATAGCTAAATATAATATAATAGGAGTAGAGCACTTTTATAGTAGTTATTAGCACTTTTATAGTGGGTATTGCATCATATATTTATATAAGAAAGATGCTACAGTTTCAATTCCTTGGGCCATTTTCTCTGGAACTTTGCCATGTTGTTATTTTTTCTGGCTATATATCTTTCAATTGATAGAATTTTTTTTAGTGAATTTAGAAATTTGTCCAAAGTCGTTTTCTATCATTTTATACTGGCTAGATATATGAATCTTTTTCCAGCAAGAATGATGTTATCAATAAAAAGGTAGCCAGTGTTGATCCCCAGTAATATAGTAAATTTCAGTAAATAGGATATTAATATTAACAGTATTTTTAATATACATACTTAAGTCATTCCAAAAGTCTGAACAATATCACATGAAACATACACATGTACAATGTCTTCAGATTCTTTTTTACAGAATATACAGCGATCATTATCTATTATTTTCATCTTTACTAATTCTTTTCTTGTGTAAATAGCTTTGTGAATGAATCTGTACTGAAAATCTAAGAGTTTAATATCATTTGTACATTTTCTATAATTTAAGAAAATAGCGTCCCAAGGTATAGCAATGTTTATCAAAACTTCCCATTTTCTACACACATCAGGCAATCTGTCTGATTTGATCAATTTGTCATAAAATATTCTACAGCCTTTTGAAGGTGTAAGCAGAGTTAATATCGCTTCATTAATACCAAGATTTTGATTTTCTAGTTTATGGTCATTTATTGTGGCTTTCCATGTATTGGGAATACTACTCAAAACTCTATTGTAATCCAAAAAGGTACCTTTAACTAAAAATCTATTCTTAAAGTCATCAAAAGATAATAATCCATCAGAGTTACATATATCTTTAATCTCAGTTACACCCTTGTTGAACCAACTACAGATAAAAAGAGAAGGGTTTACAAAGTGATGGTTTAGCCACAACGGTTCATGAAGTATTTTCTCATAGTCATGTTGATCAATTTTAAAGGATGATCTATACCTCGTCCATGCCTGAAAAACATCCTTCCAATAAAGGTTATCAACTTCCTTAGATAGATCACTATTAGCTCCTAATTGGAGTAATGGACCAGGTAAAACAGACAGATGTTGCTCATGTCCTGGTCACTGACCTGTGGGGGTCACATCATCATGTTGCAGTCAGCTTGGACCTCCATCAGGATATTGTCACAAAACACATTAGTGTTTTTTATTTGTCTGTTTATTGTCTGAACCAGCAGGGTTTAGAAATTAACCTGTTGAGTCTACTGGCCCAGATTGGGATAATTTGTACTTATGTTCTCTTACAATTCTTTAAAATTTGCTTTTAGGATTGGTTAAATCAGTAATCCGGAGCTGTATTGTTTTTATCTACAATATATAACTTCGTCTGTTTTTACATGAGCCCTACTTGCGTAATAAATATTTGATTTTATGTAAATTATCAAGCTCTTGTGGAAAGACCCATCCTCGATAATCTCCAGGGTATACGTTACGATCACTCTCCACTATACCCTGGATGCATCCACGGCTTGGCCGATAATTATATTACCTCCCTTTGCTGGCTCCAAATTCTCACAGTAGTCAATCAGCTAATCCGCCGTTACATCCGAGCATGCAGTGTCAACAAAGATAGTGGTCGCAGTCGTGAAGGTTTGTTCGCAGTGCCACTCATACTTTTGGGGAAATCATATAGACAAATTGACAGATCTGAAACTTTAAAAAAATATATGAAAGAACTCCTTCTACCTCTTTCAGAGTACCTCTGCATCAATTGTGTTGCCAAGTTTAAACGGTTAGATAATTTAAGAAGGGAAAGTGAGTTGTGATTGGTTCACTCAACTTCCCAGCGTAGACACCTGATTGGATAAAAAGCCAGCAAAGGGAGGTAATATAATCATCGGGCCAAGCCGTGGATGCATCCAGGGTATAGTGGAGAGGGATCGTAACGTATACACTGGAGATTATTGAGGATGGGAAAGACCCTGAAAGCATGAAATTCTATCAGCAGTAATTTATATTCAGAGTTATTCTAAGCAATTAGTGTTCCATTTATATCCCACTGTGTTTCCTTCAGTCTACATTTAATGTTTTGGATGTCGTTTCTTCAGCACGGACTGCGACCAGATGTGTCCTCTGTCGTACGTGAAGACCTCATCCCACTCACAGCATCACTCATACAGAGTTATCTCCTCCTTGTATGGGCTTCACAGTCAGTTGTCATTGGCAACCAAAATACTGCCCTGTGAGTGTTTGATTTTTGGATGTAAATATGAGATGTTATGTTTTGATTCACACACCTGAATGTGAAACATCTGGACCCCAGTTCCCTATTGCCTGTGATTAGTGGCAGCTAATTTAGTTCTGTTGGCCAGGCTTGGGAACTGGGTATATTTCATGTTGCTTTGCTCAGACCTCCAGGGACGTTGATCATAACATCAATCACTTGTTTGTCTGTCCTTCACATGATTATTTACATTTTTTATTATTAAAGGCCTTCATGTAAAACACTCAACCTCTCACAAAGCAGATTGAAGTCACATGTTTACATGCCACCAAAGTTTCACATGCCAGTTGGGTTTTACATGCCTGTGAGGTTTCACATGCTAGTTGGGTTTCACATGCCATCTGGGTTTTACATAACAGTTAGGTTTTACATGCCAGTTAGGTTTCACATGCCAGTTAGGTTTCACATGCCAGTAAGGTTTTACTGCCCGCTTGGTTTCACATGCCTGCTGGGTTTTACATGCCAGTTAGGTTTCACATGCCAGTGAGGTTTCACATGCCAGTTAGGTTTTTACATGCCAGTTAGGTTTCACATGCCAGTAAGGTTTCATATGCCATCTGGGTTTTACATGCCAGTTAGGTTTCACATGCCAGTTAGTTTCACATGCCAGTAAGGTTTCACATGCCATCTAGGTTTTACATGCCAGTAACGTTCCACATGCCAGTAAGGTTTTACTGCCTGTAAAGTTTCACATGCCAGCTGGGTCTTACATGCCAGTTAGGTTTCCCATGCCAGTAAGGTTTCACACACCAGTTGGGTTTCACATGCTGATTAGGTTTCTTCATCGAAATGACATTTCAGTCACTGGCCTTCTTGTTTGTTCCAGGGAGTTCAATGTCAGACAGCTGGCTGCACTGGAAATCTCTGATACAACAAACGTAACATCATCAAGGTCAAGTAAGTGTCAAAAACATAAGATCATCAAGGTCAAGTAAGTGTCAAAAATGTAACATCATCAAGGTCAAGTAAGTGTCAAAAACGTAACATCGTCAAAGTCAAGTAAGTGTCAAAAATGTAACATCGTCAAGGTCAAGTAAGTGTCAAAAATGTAACATCATCAAGGTCAAGTAAGTGTCAGAAACGTAACATCGTAAAGTGTCAGTAACATCGCTAAGGTCCGTGTCAAAGTCAATCAAGTAAGTGTCGGAAACGTAACATTATTTAAGTCAAGTAAATGTTGGAAACGTAACATTATAATAGCCAATTATTTGTAAGAAGCAGTTATTCTTTTTGCTAACAGATAGAAGCTGAGGTAAGTGCTAGTTTAACCAAAGGTTCGATGGTTTGTAGGCCAATGTTGTATTGCTAAAACTAACATTGCGAAAATTGGGTAGTTGGGAGCCCGATAGTTAAAACAGAGTCCAGGGCTCAGTTGACCACACTGGTACAAGCGTAAACCCTTTCTCTTGTGGTGTTCCCTGTTGTGTCATTGCTGAAATCATGCTCACTCAAAAAACACATCAGCAGGAATGTTTGTAATCCCCATCTGTTACCAAGACCAGTATGACATGCCAGTGTATGGCACATGGGGATACAGAGCTCAATAATACGATACACATTACGTAGTCTCAATATGTTTAGTTGTACAACTTTTGGGAATTACTCTTCTTTAAATACCAAATACTACTGCTGTGCATTTTAGATTTGTTATACAATGAAGTCTCCTTTTCAGTCTCAACGCATATTGGTGTTGTTTGGGAACATACATTTCCATGGTTTAAAACCACAAAAAGATCAGCTTTCGTTTTCCTCTCCAAAAATTAGAACACATTCTCAGAGTTGTACTGGAACAATTAAGTCAGAATCCAAAGATGGAACACTCTCTTCAAAGTTTTCTTCCACAGTTTCCACAGTATGTTACCATGTTTCAGACTTACCAAGTGTCACCCTTGCTGAGCTGTTCATCCAAGGTGTGGGCGGGGCCCAGGGGCGCTCCATGCTGGCCCAGATTCCCAGCATCGACTATCGGAGCAAGGCCGTCTGGGCTCAGCATCTGGTCCCTCTTGTCAGAACACTTGCAAAGATCATGTATCCTTTGTTTAGCTATCATTACTTATGAACTTTGATTCATTTCTGGCAATACTGATTCAATTTCTTTCTAGTTTGTTCAGTTTGCCAGTAGGAAGACATCTTAAAGAGCCAAGGAAGTGGGAGGGCACACAGTCCAGATATTCTGATCGATAATCAAGATTTATATTGTAGCCTCTGTATGACTCATTAAATCAAGATTTGTATATTAATGAAACAAGGCTTAACTTGCAAAGTGCTTCAAATCACAATTGAGCAAGCTCTTAAAACCTAAAATGATTTAAAAGTACTACTAGTAACAATTTACTGATACATTTCCTTAGCTGAATACAAGATGGCCGATGTGTGACAACTTCCTGTTCCCAGAATTCCTTGTAGGATCATGTCAGTACCTTCACCTACAGGAGTATGTCCGTCTGCTGAGCAGCTGGTGTGAGTGGAACGTGGCATCAAGACGCTTCCTGCTTGGACTGTGTTACCTGCATTTTGAGTAGGTTTACAGGGATATTGAGATTTTTATGTGTTGGATCAGATAGGATGGATTTGTAATTTTTTAAAGATCTATCTGCATCAGAAAACAAAAGTCAAAATGGTGGCATAACCAGTTGGCCATGTGCTGCAGTTTTCATTTCTGAGTTGCATCCTCTATGCCATGATCCTATGATGGTGTGTTACAATCTAGGTCATGCATCACTTGATTGATGCTCGTGCTGTTGATCACTGGATTGTCTGGTCCAGATTTGATTTTTTACAGACAGCCGCCATTTAGCTGGAATGTTACTGAGTGTGGCGTATAACTAAACTCAGTCACTCATTCTCTCACTCTCCCTCCTCCCTCCACCCATGCTGTTTCTGACCCACCCACTCGCTTACTTGCTCCCTTACACACATTCATCACCCACTCACTAATTCACACCCAACCCACCTACCCCCTCACTCATTTACTCACCTTCCACTTGCACAATCCTCCACCCACACTTTCCGATTCCCTCACTCATCCTCCGCCTGCTTGCTTCCCCACCTACTCACTCACCCACTCTCCACCCTCTTACTTGCCGTCTTACTCCCGCTGTAATGATGCTGAACTGACTCCTCCTTCCAGTGAGCCCCAGAAAGCAGCCCAGTGTTTCACCCAGGCCGGCAGTGGGGTCGGCAATGAGACGTTCCTGAGTCAGAAACTACTGCAAACAGACGAGGATGAGTTTCACAAGATGGAGGTCCTATACTATCTCAAGGTCAGTGAGGAATGGACAGTAATGGTCTATGGGCTTATTCCAGGAATGAAACTTTGAACCATTACAAAACTTGTAAATTAGCAGAAGTTGAATCATGAAATAACGCAGAAGACACGGGTTCGATTCCCCACATGGGAACAATATGTGAAGCATTTTCTGGTGTCTCCTGCCGTGATATTGCGGGAATATTGCTAAAAGTGGCGTAAAATCATACTCACTAACTCACTCTTCATTCTGATTTAACACAAACATATCTTAAATTCGAAATTAAATAGAAAATGATTCTGAACTATATTATAAATAAAAACATTTGATCACAGTTACGTTTCCTAAGTGCCAGGATCCTGTGAATGTTAGTTTGACTCCAAGACTGTCTTGGTTTGGTAGCACCATACCCATGCTTGTTATCCCCCACAAAGCACGTTCCCAGACAAAGTTTTTATTCATTAACCTGTGCTGTGCCGTCCCCATCCATATTTGAACACCTGGCTGTCCCTTTCTCTGCACTCCTCCCTAGTAACAAACAGTGAACTGTGCCAATATTTTAATGATAGTTTGTTAAACAACTATTTTATTTTAAGGACAAAAATTCTGCAAAAACCTCACAGAGTTGGTATGATGTTTTGATTATGATCAGCATTTCATTGAGTATTTTATATTTTTTAGTTTACGAGTTAGATTGCAATTCATCGGTCCGCTTTTGAGCCAAACGGACTATAGTACTCTTTTCCGGAGCAGAACACTAAAACTTTTCAATATTTCTTCACCAATCTTGGCACATAGATAGATCTGGTGGTCAACTGGTGCCTTTTGGTACTTTGGGGTTTCTGAATATGAAAATGTTTGCGTTTCCATGGCAACAAGTTTGACAGACTGAAATTGGTGGTAGTGCTCTTTTCCGGAGCAGAACTTTAAAAGCGTTCATTATTTCTTCACCAAACTTGGCACATAGATAGATCTGGTGGTCTCCTGGTGCCTTTTGGTATTTTTGGATTTCTGAAAAAATATTTTTTGTTTTTCCATGGCAACAAGTTTGACTTAGACTGAAATTGGCGGTAGTACTCTTTCGGAGCACAACTCTAAAACCGTTCAATGTTTCTTCACCAAACTTGGCACATAGATAGATCTTGTGGTGAACTGATGCCTTTTGGTATTTTGGGGTTTCTGAATATAATAGTTTTTGGCGTTTCCATGGCAACAAGTTTCACTTTGAAATTGGTGGTAGTGCTCTTCTCCGGAGCAGAACTTAAAGACTGTTCACTGTTTCATCACGAAATTTCATACATAGGTAGGTCTAGTGGTGAACTGGTGCCTTTTGCTAGTGTTTTTTTTTTGCATTTCCATGGCAACAAGTTTGGCTTCAACTGAATTTGGTGGTAGTACTCCTTTCTGGAGCAGAACTTTGAAACCTTTCAGTACTCTCCTTCCACTTAGCTATATACACTTAACTCGTAGACATATTCATGAAGAGTATTTTGCCATTGCGGGGGGACCGCCTCCGTGGTGTAGTGGTTAGAGCGTCCGCCCGGAGAGCGGAAGGTCGCGGGTTCGATCCCCAACCGCGTCATACCAAAAGACGTTAAAATATGGTACTTGTTGGTCCCTGCCTGGCGCTCGGCATAAAGGGGTACAACAAGGACTGGTCGGCTCGGAGTCAGTATAATGTGTCTGAGTGGGGTATTCTTGCTTCACTGCAGCATGGTATCTCATTGGGCTAGCACTATAAAACCAGCTTAAGTCTGGGCTAGTACAAGCAGCCGCATTACATACATACATGCGCATGCATCGTCGTCATATGAGCAAAATATTCTCAAGCACGACGTTAAACCCAATTTCACCTCACCTCACCTCACCTCACCTCACCTCACCTCACCACCTCACCGCCATTGCGGGGGATATTGATGACTTTGTCTTCTTGTTGATTTTGCAAAACATCCACGAGCCAGTCCTTCTTTCATTTTAAGCTGACACAATATGGTATGAAATACTGTTCATAGAGACAATAGCACAAGCACTTGTTTCAGTTTATGCCTTTAAATGAAATCATTTTGAAGATATGGATGTGATGATTATTTTCAAGTGCAGCTATTTGTTGGTGCAGGTGATCCGTCAGTTTGAGGAGTTCAACCTCCCGGACATGGTCATCCAGCTTGCCAAGACAGCAATCGGAGCAGCCAGTGAGGAGGATGAAAATCTGGTAAATAGTAGACGAGGGTTACACAGACGAATAAACTGGATAAACTGTCTGTATTGTCACTTTGTCAGATACTGAATAAACTGTGAGATTGGCTGTCTTGTTTTCTCTTGGTATGCTACTCAACAGAAGTTAAGGACCACCCAGTTATTTCATAATTTTATTGTTAGTCTCTCATGGTCCTGCAGTTAAACTATAGTAACATGAAAGAAACATGTATCGCAACAAACTGACAAAGAACATATTTGTTAGAATTACGACTTCTTTCATTTCAGTGTTTTGGGAGCTGATGCTAACACTAATTAAACATGTAATATCACTTTGATTGTGTATGTACTAATAATTCCTCAACAGGTATTAGTGTTATAGATTTGAGTAACCTTGGTAACTGACCATTTCATCTCCAGGCAACTTTATGGTCCAAAGTGTTCAAGTATCATCTGGAGCTAGGTCACAACGAGGATGCCTACGGAGCCATGATCGCCAACCCAGAACCATCCAGGTGAGAGATGGGCTTCAAACTTGCCAGGCTGTACATGTTCTACAGTCTTCATGCAGTTCCTTGTTTCTGCCGCTTAGTTATTTTTCGGCCTCTCACCTTTGAAGATATGACTGAGAGTGTTATTACTTCTTGTTCTGACAAAGTGATGTCCTTCTCCTAATTAGTCCCGTTCCCAGAATACCTCAGTAATTTTTTGACTGGAGACATGCATCAACCAAGATAGCAAGCATTACCAAGCCAATCCCAGAAGTCAATTTTAATGATATGCATGTCTTGCTAAATATCAGTTCTAACCCAGATCTTCATGGGGATGATGATGATGATGATGATGATGATGATGATGATGATGATGATGATGATGATGATGATGATGATGATCTTCTCAGGGCTATCGGTTAACAATATTTTGTACATTTTTACAGACGAAAGGATTGTTTGCGGCAGCTGTTGGTCGTCCTGTGTGAGAGAGGTGATCTACAGGCCCTCGTGGAGTTCCCCTACATCGACCTACAGGATGAGGTACGTCAGGGCGAGTACAAATATATAGAACTTGGTAATTGCTCAAAAGCTCAGATTCATGTAGGAGGGCTCTTAAGATCCACTCACATGTGCTAGATGTCCAGAGAATGTATCTGCTGATTTGTATGTGTTCACAGGTTGTGAATATACTAGAGAGCAGAGCTAGGTCCGTCGACCTCGTCACCCACAACTACTACAACCTTCTCTACTCCTTCCACATCTACAGGAACAACTTCAGGAAAGGTAACTACTGCAGAAGCTTTGACAGGCTCCTTTGGTGGGAACTGTTTTTACTCAGTGGGTAACCTGCTGTTTTGTAAAGCAATATTACTGGTTCTATGAATTTGTTATTTAATGATTTGTACACAAGAAAACACCAGTGTGTATCCACTGACCAACATAAAAAGCTATGTGGACAGTTACAGGTAAAACATGAAACCTTCAGTAGTCATGTATAGTGCTTGTGAGGAGAAAGTTAGAGAAAGAGACTTTCAGTAGGCTTGTATAGTGTTTGAGGAGAAAGTTAGAGAAAGAGACTTTCCAGTAGTCATGTATAGTGCTTGTGAGGGAGAAAGTTAGAGAAAGAGACTTTCAGTAGTCATGTATAGTGCTTGTGAGGGAGAAAGTTAGAGAAAGAGACTTTCAGTAGTCATGTATAGTGCTTCTGTGTGAGGAGAAAGTTAGAAAAGAGACCTTCAGTAGTCATGTATAGTGCTTGTGAGAGGAGAAAGTTAGAGAAAGCATTAAACCTTCAGTAGTCATGTATAGTGCTTGTGAGGAGAAAGTTAGAGAAAGAGACTTTCAGTAGGCTTGTATAGCGTGTGAGGAGAAAGTGACAGGTTTGTGAGAAGAAAGTTACAAAAATGAAACCTCCAGAAGGTATGTTTAGTGTTTATGAAGAAAGAGTTACAGAATGTGACCTCCAGTAGGCATGGGTAGTGCTTCTGAGGAGAAAGTTACAGATGAGACCTCCAGTAGGCATGAATAGTGTTTGTGAGGAGCTAGATATTGGTTCACTTGAAAACTCTAGTTGCCATGGATAGTGTTTGACATTGATAACCAAGTCCCAGATCCCGTAAACCTACTAGTCTTGTTACAGCTGGACACGTGATGTACGAACACGGGATGCGACTGGGGCGTGAGCTGCCGGGCCTGAAGGGCTTACAGAGACAGGCTCAGTGCTACCTTGCTTCTCTCAATGCTCTCCGTCTTGTCCGACCAGAGTATGCCTGGATTGTCAAGCCTGTCTCCATGTCCAAATACACTGAGGTGAGATGTGTACCTTATACTAGAACACTTACAGGCTGTGATGTGGTTACAGGTGGTTTTGATCAGTGCCTGTTTCACTCCATTGCATAATGTATCTGTGAAGACATATTTGAGAAATGCAAGGAATCTGTGGAGCGTCCAGTTGATCATGATTCTTTTCAGAGATCGTCCCTTGGGGTACATATTATGCATTTTCCGGCTGTAAATGTCCTGTGACAGTTGTATCAATGTTTTTTGAATAAAAAGATTGTACAATAAATAAACTTCTTTATTTATTATAATGGACCCTACCTCACGGAGTTACCTCCCCTAAGCGCATACGCACTAACTGGGTAGGCCTCCTGACCCGTATCATCATTCCTTCTGCTGTCACGGCCCCCTGAACAGGCGTTCGCTTTATGTGATTACCTTTCATGAGCCGATGCGGCGCCTGTATTTTAAGATGTCTGAGACACCACCTGTATGTTTGGTTTTATTTGTCTAAAACAATAACAGTAAAGCCTTACAGTGGTTGTTTCATAAATTGTGACTTTGTATAAGTACTATCAAAATACGCAAAACTTTCCGTGGTTTTACGCAAGTTTGCTCTGCCATGGCGGGAAGTTTAGCGTGCGCTGCGTAATCGTAATATTGGGCGCTTTAAAACCAACTATTACTTCCGTGGGTAACCTTCAATGTATTTTTCAATGTTTTCTACGTGTTTCTCTGCTTCTGGCCACAAGTTAACTAACATGTTTACGTGTTTGTTTCAGGCTTTACCTGTTGTTCCGGTCTGTGGGGGAAAGTATTCCCCGGCTGACAGTCACTCCCAATGCGGCCTGTCTGGAGAAGACGGGCCATGTGGCTGATACATGTTCAATTTGTCTGGCCTTTTCCCCCGGCACAGAAGAGGCGGGCGGCCGACACCCCAGTGTTTTACCGCGAGATGCGGAGAGCGGAGGGGACCTGACGCGAGGTTCCCCGGCAAAAATCTAAACGGGCGCACCCAAAAAGGAAAAACTCGCGGCCCTTCCCTCTCCTACCACTTCGAAAGTGGTTTTGGACATGTCTCTAATGGAGTCGATGTTTCACCAGAAGCAGATGGACCCAATGAAGTCCTTCGCTCGAGTCGGCTGGAGGTCTCCGCCAGGAGTTCTCGCCCACCTCGGGATCGGGGCGGAGAGTCCGGGTGGGATCGCCGGCCTCGGGCTAGGATCCCTCAGCCTTGAGGGCGCTCTTGGTCGATCCGCTCTCTCTGGCTTCGAATCCGGACGCTCTCGGCTGCTCCCGAGAGGGAGGTGCTCCCAGTCCCCTCTTCGAGCTTGGCGCTAGGCCGCTGAGTATTCCTGGTATTCCGGGTCCCTGGGCGACACCTTCGCATGAGAGAGCCGAGGCACTCCAGTTCTGCCTGGCCTGCCTCCAGCGCCCTCGGGACCGGGTCCACGACGCCGGGCTGGCGCTGACGCGGAGCAGTCGGGTCTGTTCCTCCCTTCCTGTGGTGCCCAGCGCCAGCAGTCCACATCGGGTCAGGTTAGGGTCCCTATCGCAGGGAGGAGACCCAGCCTCTGACTCCGGCCTCGGACCGAGGGCAATGGAGCTTGGGGAGGTCGAGGAGCATGACGGGCGGCTTCCGCTTTCGCTTCGGCCTTGCGGGAGGTCCCGCAGAGAATGTCGTCGAGGGCCCACCCCAGGCCCGCGCGGTGCCTGCTGGTAGCGCGGACTCCGACTGAGTTCCGCTTTTGCCTGGCGAGGCGCTTTGCCCCTAGGCAACCCTCACGGACGCAGCTCCGCGATTCTGCCATCGTTGGTCGCGGACGGTCGTATCCCCTCTTGTCTGGTACCCGAGTCAGGTTTGACTTCTTACCTGAACTCGCAAGGGCGCTACCAGCTTGGGGAGGATTCCCTGTTCGCCGTAACCGCATCGCTGGCAGAGGCGTGTTTTCACTCGTCGCCCTGGGGAGGCTCGGCTTCCCTCGGAGCAGCCCGCTGTTCGGCAGCAGCCTCACTCCACCTTTTGCCCTTCGCTGGCGCTTCGCGGCATCGCACCGACCCTACGAGGAGGTTCACCGGAACGCTGATGCAGCAGGTGCGGGTGGTGGTCCATGAGGCCTACCTCTCCCCTCGATACAGAGGTCGGCCCTTGAGGCGAGGAGGCATGCTGGCGACGTATGGTCGCCGCGAGTCGATCGCACTTCGGGCCAGCTGTCGGAAGTTCAGGCTCACCTGGCAAAGACTCTTTATGGTCTGCTGGAAGCTTTAAATGTGATGTGCGCCCAGTCATGGGGATGCGCAGGCTGTGGCTGCTGACGCCTAGGTACTTTCGGCAGCAACACAGCAGACCTTGCTGGCTTACTCCCTTTCCGTCCTGGGAGCTGCACTCTCTTCCGGGGCACAGCCAGGTCATACGGGAGGCTGCCGCTGCAGCTACCTCCTTCCGGGATTCTAAGGTCTTGTTGGAGCACTCGGCTGTCGCCCCGCCCCGCAGCCACCTTCCTCCGGCCGGGTGCAGCCTACACCCGGAAGTCTGCCGGCTGGCCCGCCGCCAGGTAGGTAGCGGAGGAGTAGGTCCGCCAAGGGTAGGGGCAAGGAGCAGTCCTCGACTAGCTCCCCAGCCTTGCAGGCGCTACGTGGAGGTCTGCCCCACCTCCCGCTAACCCAACAGGCTGCCGCTCAAGCCGCAGGTCACACCCAGTCAGCTCCGGCTTATTGTGGGTCCACGCGACGCTTCTAAATTTGCTATCCCAGTGGGAGGCCGCTCTCTCTATTCCTGCCAGAATGGGGGAGAAGGCTACTAACAACGGCTTTTAAAGGCGCTTTCCACGGTCAGCATAGGCCATCTCCCCACTGTGGAAGCGGTGTCCGCTTCGACTTCACCGGGCATACGACGACTCGTGTCAGCCATGCCAGGCCAGAGGCGGATATTATTGCGCCGACGGTTCAGGCTCTGCTGGACAACCGCTTGTCGAAGCATTCCACCGAGAGTGAACAGGCGGGATTTTACTCCACGTGCTTCGCCGAAGAAAGACGGGCTGGTTCCGGCCCCATTCTCAACCTCAAAGGGGTTGAATCGCATGCTTTCGGCACCCATCCTTCAAGATGGAGACATTGCACCGCGCCGTGATCTCATCTGTTCAGCCCGGCGATTGGCTCACGCGTCAATGCGACCTAAAGGATCGCATTATCTGTATTGTACCCATACATCCCTACGCTCAAGCAGTAACTCCGGTCCTCTTCACGACGGGATGTATTACCAGATCAGGTGCTGCCCTTCCGGCATAATACCGCCCCAACTATGTTCACCTACCATAAGTTAGTCCCAGCTACCCCAGCTGCGCTCGCCAAGGAAAGGCGTTGTTACCCTTTTACCTAGACGACTGGTTGCTCGGAGTATCACTAACAGCCAGCGAAGTCAAGATGCTACTCACACAGTGATAGATATTCTAACCTCGACTGGGGTGGATCATCAACTTTCAAGAAATCCCACCTGGGTACCCACCTAGACTTGGTTTTTTCTTGAGCCGATTCCAAATCTAACAAGTGATCTCGCTTTCCTTACAATCGCCCGACCGGTCACCAGAGTTCGAGATGGGCTATCTTCATTCCTCTCCTGGTGCCCCAGGCACCAGCCGCGGACTTTGAAGTCCGCCTTACTGGGCCATATGGCGGCGGCGATCTCTGTAGCCAGTGTGGCCCGGTAGCTGAGTTGAGATCGCGCCCCATATTAGCAAGCTTTGGCACGGGTTGTGGACTCACATCGAGGATCTCTGGAGAGCTAAAGAGTCTCACAGTCCTCGAAAGTGGTTGACACCTCACCTTTCAGTGGTGGACCAAATGTCGGGAATCTCACCAGGGGTTCCCCTTGGAAATCCCGACGCCAGTTCTCACAGTTCAGACAGATGCGCCCTCACGGGCTGGGGGCGTTCTGGGCAGTTCGTCGGCTTCCGGACTCTGGTCCGGAAGTCAAGCTTCCACCTTCTCACATCAACGCGTTGGAGCTGAGAGCTGTCGCGGTTGGTATTCGAAGCCAGAGAGCATGTCCGCGGCCCAGGTAGTCCGCCTCAGTTAGACAACCGAGGACGACCGTCATGCTCGCATACATCCTGGAAGCAGGGAGGCACGGTGGTCCCCAGCGCTCCTCGAAGCGTGGGACTTTCTCCCTCTGGAGCCAATTGCCAGTACGCATTGCGTCAGGTACTCCCCTGTTTATCTCCGGGCTGGAGAACGCGGCGAGCAGATGCGCCTCGCTGCGGATCCTGGCCCCGCATCGCAGTGGAGTTCTCGACAGGCAGATATTCACAGTAATCTCCTCAGAAGCTGTAGATGGGTCGCTCGGTGGATCTGTTTGCGGCCCGGCGTAATGACCGTATCAGACCCGTGTTCTGCTCTCGATACCGGACCAGAGGGCTGGCTGCCGACGCCTTCCTGCTGGATTGACCGGGCAAAAGTGCTCTGGCTGCCCCGCCCATTACCACTCACTTCCGTGGTCCTTTTCATTAAAGGTTCACCCAGCCAGTTTCCTCGGCTATTTGTGCTACTGGCACCGCTATCGCTTTCATAGAGCTGGTTTCCGTAATTTTCGTGTTTCTGCCTGCGCCTCCCGTTCCCATTACCTTTATGTAATCGACATCTTCACTCAGAACGGTAGCCACTTCCACCCAAACTACTTGATTCAGTGGGTGGCTTGGCCTCTGTCAGGTCTAATAACCTCGCAGAATACGCAGCGGAATTCCTGCAGCAGTTGCAGACTACAATTCTGGCTTCTCGGTATGGACTACAAACGTGCTCAGCAATGCGAGGATAGGTGGTCCCGCTATGCGCCGCTTTGGAAAATTCAGATAAGGGGATTGCAGGGTCCCTTTCTCGCTGGATTTGAGTCCGGTATTGGAGTTTTTGCAAGCTCAAGCTTGGAAGAAGGCCTGGCGGCCGACCATTGGCGGCTACTCCACCGCTATTTTACTTTTCACACCACCTGTCGATGGTGCTCTTCTGGGGCAGTACCCACTCATTATAGCGCTCTAGCTGGCGCTGAACGGACCTCGACCTGCTCCTCGTACGCAATCCAGTCCACCGCCAGGATTTGTCGTCGCATCGCTTTCGATTGGCTGTCCGTCCCACTTTCTCACACACTATCGGGCTATTTCCATCTGGAAGTTGTTGACCTGGAAGCTGTGTTTCTGGTGGCGGTAACATCTGGTCGTAAGAGTCGGGCGAGAGCATGCTATGTCAGTCCCACCCGGGCGCTTGACTTTGTGTTTCACACGATGCGTGTCAGCACTAAGCCCCAGAGTACTTTTTGCCTGATCGAAGGTCGACACGCTTTCCATGTGACAGCCCCATCGAACTTCCTACCTCTTACCCAGTTTTCCATCGGGGACTAATTCTCACGCAGCATCACCCGCTGGGATGTCTAAGTAAGGCAGCTCAAAGAGTCTATCTCAAAACCTAACGCAGGGGATCCGCACGGGTACCCAGCCGTTCTACTGTTGTTATTCCCGATTAGCGAGGAAGGCTATTCTGCCAGCCAGCAGCAAGCAAACTTTGTCTTTCGCTGGCTTGTTTCGTATTTGTGCCGCTTTATCAGGCTAAGGGCAAGCCTCCCCCTGAGGGGTTGAAGGCTCACTTTCGGTCAGGGGCAGTAGCCGCATCAAAGCTTTGCAGCGGCACTCCCCATTGAAGAGATCTGCTCTGCCGCTTATTTGGAGCCATTAAGAAGCACTTTTATACGCTTCATTATCAGCTCGATACACATTCACGTTAATCGCAAGCGGCTTTGGTCGCATCGTTCTCTCCAGTGTGGACAGTGTCCTGCCACCCCGACCAAGTGGAAATCTTGGTTTATTGGTTTGTGTTGGACGCTACTGTACAATGATTCCATTATTGACATGTCTGCTACGAGCACTCAGAGAACCTGTACCCCCTTCGATTCTCTAAGGAGTTAACGATATCGTTAGTGCGAGTGGTATTTTGTTTTTCCCCCTCACGGTGCTCTCCTCATACTCAGTTAGAAGCCACTTGGTGGGTCGGATTTCACTGACATTCGCGACTCGTGCAATGTCTCTCATTATGCTAAGAGGTCGCTTCTTTGAGCACCAAATCCTCCTGTCAGTTCCCTCTCCCATAATGCCTCATGAGCTTTCTAAACTGGGTCTAAAGTGACAGGTGAGTGTTATAAGCGTCTGTTCAATTTTTTCCGCGATCATGATCGCTATATTTTGTGTGTGCTTGGACAGAATTCCCTCCTCCCTGGCCTCCGGTCTTTGGGAGTCTGTGTTTATGCATAATATGTACCCCAAGGACGATCTCTCTGAAAAGAATTTTCCAAACCTGCAGAGGTTTTCAATTCTTTGAAGAGAGTCAGTCCTTGAAGGCCCACCACCCTCCCACAATTCTGTTCACTGATGAGAATTCAGCAGAAGCAGAATGATGATACTGGTCTAGGGAGCCTACCCAGAATTAGCGCATGCTAAGGGGAGGTAACTCCGTGAGGTAGGGTCCTGTATAATAAATAAAGAGTTTATTTATTGTACAATCTTTTTATTCAAAAACATTGATACAACTGTCACAGGACATTTTACAGCGGAAAATGCATAATATGTACCCTAAGGACGACTCTCTTCAAAGAATTGAAAACCTCTGCAGGTTTGGAAAAATTTAAGTAAATATACTTGAAGTTAAGAGGTAAATATTTACCTGTATCTGACAGTGGTACAAATTACACAGCCTATCAAACCATGTCAGTGCAGCAGGTACAGAGTTTTCTCCCTTTAGAGCTTCAGATAAGCTGAACAATTTGATTGGCTGAGACACAATCATGACACCTTTCAGTATGTAAGCTTGCAATATGAAGGATGACAACACGATGATGGGGCTTAAATGCCCTGTTTGGAAGATATTTGGTTGATCTGTTTATGAAAAACATGTTGAAAAGACCACAGCACAACACAAGAAAGATGATTAAACACCACCCAGGGATCATAAACAAAGAATCTGCCACAAACAGTTCAAATACACAACTAACAATGTACATTCAACATACCAGTCAAACTGTGAGAAAGTATCCTGATATATTTGGATGGCACAGTTTGTGTTTAGTCACAGGATTATATTCTTCGGTTGGCATGACTGGTCTTAGCTTTTTGGTGTGTCTTAAGGGACCGTTCATAATTTATGGCTAGGGGGGTGAGGATGATTTAAAAAATAATGATAAGAAATGGGGGCATTGATTTTGTACATGGTATGCAAGGGGTCACTTACTTTGTGCACGTAAATTTAAGGGGTTCATTTCCCCTTCTCTCTCTCTTCCTCCTTCCCTCCCTCCTCCTCCTCTCTTCCCCCCCAATAAATTATGAACGGTCCCTTAGCAGCAAGGAAATTCTTTAGCATATGTCAACTTTCCACAGTTTGAGTGCTTGGTGTCAGTGTTTGAGACAACTCCATCTTCTGTAAGCAGGTATCAGATGATGATGAGGAGCCAGGTATCTCCCCCAAGCATGGTCTGGATGGAGCAGAGAAGGAGGCACACAGTCGTGAGTATCTACCAGCCCCCAGTTTCATTTCCAAGATGGTTACCTGGTCCTCAGCTCTATACAGTATTATACTCTGACAAAAAAATTGTGACATACATGTTATTGCTTAAACTATATATTTTTCAGGGAAGCAGAACTCAATACTGAGTGGTATTATTTTCAACTTAGTTTTAACCTATGAAGAATTGATCAAAACCACGTGCTTAGAATTGATCTTCAAAACCCATGCATGTCGTAAATTGCATAGATGATGCTCATGGGATCGAAAGGTCTGGTCAGCATGATTATTTACAGACTGCTGCTGTATAGCTGGAATATTGCTGAGTGCGGCATAAAACTAAACACACTCACTCACTCCAACTTAATTGTAAAAGTAGTTGTTTTTCCTGCATTGAAAACATTCCTGTAATTACTGATAGAGAACTGAGTAAAGTGGGGAGTGTTTGTGTGTGTTTTCATGTGTGCTGTATTGATGTATGTTGTGACAGTGACACGGAAGATGGAGATTATGGAGCTGGTGGACATTGAGAAGGAATACATCTTGGTTGATGCTCGTCTCCGCCTCATCCGCAGAAACCCAGACCCTTCTCTTGCTTCAGGTTGGTACAGTCGGGTCGATTTAAATTCTGTGTCAGTATCAGTCAAAGTCCTGTTTCACACAACAGTTGTATTTACCCTTATTGAAAGCTGCCATTATTAAGTTGCTATCAACTCACATCTTTCAGTGCAAAATGAATAAGTTTTGGTAATAAATTCCAGCCATACAATGGTGGTCTGTAGACAGTAGCATTGACCAGACAATCCAGTGATTGATATTATGACAAAACACTTGTACTGAATTCACAGGTGTTTTGGTAATTAATCTTACCCTGAACAGGTCAGCTGACAAACCTGTCATTTTGGAGAATTGGGGGAAAATTGGAAGAAACTGTCGCCAGTGTCCAATGCATACAAGAAATGATTGGGTGGTCAGGCTGTGTGTTGACTGATTACGCGTGTCGTCGTACATCAGCTGGTCCTGCTCATACGTCCTGTCACTGATTCCCCTGGTAAAGACTTTACTACATAGAGGCTGCCGTGACATAGCTGGAAAATTGATGAGATGAACATCACTTCCCTCACTCGCTCGCTGCTGTACCAATAGGGAGATGTGTATAACCTAACCAGCTTCCTCTCTAACACAGGTCCAACTCCAGGCCCAGATGAGATGGTGGGTCTCCTTGTGAACTCAGGGCTGTTTGACCGAGCCATCATTGTGGCCAAGTACTTCAACCTCACACTCAACACTGTCTTCGAGAATCTGGCACTCAGGTGGGACTTTCTAATTCCTTAACTCTTTTGTTTGGTGTTACAGAAACAGACTGAAAAGTGTAATAGTACATAATCATTGGTATATGATGTAGTTCCAGAGGGGTAAATGTCTGTGCATCCCCCTTCTTCCAGATGTATAACGTTGCATCATTACTACTTGCACTCATCTAGTGTATGCATCGTGACTTCGTGATCAAATATATCCCTGTGTTTCTGCAAACAGCTGAAGTGGCACTTGTATCGTAATTGTGATATCAGGGTAGTTCTGAAGAGCAACAAATAAAGGAACACAGGAAATTCAAGTGTCCCTGTAATAGTTTCCAGTTTTCTTCATCAGCTTTGAATAGCTCCGTGGGAGGAAATCTGAGAATAAATAAAGGAACACTGCCATGAAGTGGTGTTGCCTTATTTGTTTCCCTCAGTATACATATTTCAAATGACAATACAATGAACATTCATCAAAATTCTAACTGATTGAGTTATCTTATTATTCTGGAGAGAAAGTTAGTTTCTTTGGTTTTTGATATCTGATAGGTGAAAAAACATAGCCAAAACACATCTTTACAAGAACCATGAACATTGTATCAAAACGCAACCGTAACTCCTCGTGCAGTCACTTTCTGCATGTGCAGGGTCGAGTACATACGTTTCTGATGGCTTGGTGGATGGTCGACAATTTTGATCAGTGAGACTCGTACTGGTCGTAGATTACACAAATAGTTTGCCATATTTGGGCATAGTATAGATACTAAACAATTTAGAATTATAGTTGTGTATCTTATCAGATAGCTTATTTAGTTCATGTAGTTTAGAAAAAGTATCATAATTAGTTTGGTGGTCGGAGTGGCAAGAACGTTGTTTATTTACCATTTAGTTAAGCACGTGTTTTTTACGTTTCACGTTCACAAATTATTTTAGTAATTCCACTGTGTAAACACTTATGCCAAAATCAATAAATGATTTGGCTATAAGTTGTGATGTGCTTGTTTGACTAATGTATTATGTGTCGTCCTGGAAGATGTGTGCACCTGGCCAAGGGAAGCAACTACTTCATGATTGGAGACAATGACCAGACGTCGGAGGCGTGGGACTGGTTGCAGGAAAACCATTTCAATGCTGGGACCGTTCAGAGGGACAAAAGGTTGGACGTAATGCCTTGTACACAGCCATTGTCTGGCCTTATACACAGCTATTAAGCTATGCAATGAGAATTTTTCCACAATGTATATATAAATCATCTATCCTCTGGTTTGAAATTTGGACACAAATTTGGATTTATGTTGGATTGTGTGCTGGAAATACACCTCCATTCTTGATGTTTACTACATTGTATTCATATTATCATCTCGCTGAGCATGTCTGACACAGTATAGGTTATTCCACTTGGGGCCACAGCATAAACCCATGTACTGCTCTGCCTATTCACTCTCTCCAACACTATTTTCCACTCCTCACCTCTGCATTTTCATCCACTGTATTCAACGTTTTAAGCACTCACTTTATTTAGTCTCCAGATTCTTGTACGTCTCCTCTCTTCCATTAATGTCTTATTCCTGTCTCCTCACTCGATTTTATCTCCTCACTTCTCATGATCTGCTCTATCTCGAAGCTAAACTGTTCATACCCCTTGATCTCCGCCCCAAATGTCTCTTTGGTCTACTCCTTACCCCAGTCTGTTGCCCCACATGGTCTACTCCTTACCCCAGTCTGTGGCCCACATGGTCTACTCCTTACCCCAGTCTGTTGCCCACATGGTCTACTCCTTACCCCAGTCTGTTGCCCACATGGTCTACACTCCTTACCCCACATGGTCTACTCCTTACCCCAGTCTGTTGCCCACATGGTCTACTCCTTACCCCAGTCTGTTGCCCACATGGTCTACTCCTTACCCCAGTCTGTGGCCCACATGGTCTACTCCTTACCCCAGTCTGTTGCCCACATGGTCTACTCCTTACCCCAGTCTGTTGCCCACATGGTCTACTCCTTACCCCAGTCTGTTGCCCACATGGTCTACTCCCTACCCCAGTCTGTGTTGCCCACATGGTCTACTCCTTACTGTTGCCCAGTCTGTTGCCCACATGGTCTACTCCTTACCCCCAGTCTGTGGCCCACATGGTCTACTCCTTACTCCCAGTCTGTTGCCCACATGGTCTACTCCTCACTCCCAGTCTGTTGCCCACATGGTCTACTCCTCCTTACCCAGTCTGTGGCCCACATGGTCTACTCCTTCCCCCAGTCTGTTGCCCACATGGTCTACTCCTTACCCCAGTCTGTTGCCCACATGGCTCTACTCCTCTACCCAAGTCTGTTGGCACATGGTCTACTCCTTACCCCAGTCTGTGGCCCACATGGTCTACTCCTTCCCCCAGTCTGTTGCCTCACATGGTCTACTCCTCTTACCCCCACAGTCTGTTGCCCACATGGTCTACTCCTTACCCCAGTCTGTTGCCATGGTCTACTCCTTACCCCAGTCACCCTGTTGCCCACGTGGATCTACTCCTTACCCCAGTCTGTTGCCCACATGGTCTACTCCTTACCCCAGTCTGTTGCCCACATGGTCTACTCCTTCTACTCCCAGTCTGTTGCCCACATGGTCTATTCCTACCCCAGTCTGTGGCCCACATGGTCTACTCTTACCCCAGTCTGCTGGCCCACTGGTCTACCCTTACTCCCAGTCTGTGGCCCACATGGTCTACTCCTTCACCCCAGTCTGTTGCCCACATGGTCTACTCTCCTTACCCTCAGTCTGTTGCCCACATGGTCTACTCCTTACCCCCAGTCTGTTGCCCAAGTGGTCTACTTCCTTACCCAAGTCTGTTGCCCAAGTGGTCTACTCCTTACCCCAGTCTGTTGCCCCACATGGTCTACTCCTTACCCAAATCTGTTGCCCCACTTGGTCTACTCCTTCCCCCAGTCTGTTGCCCCACTTGGTCTACTCCCTCCCCATGGTTTCTAGTCTGTTGCCCACATGGTCTACTCCTTACCCCAGTCTGTTGCCCCACTTGGTCTACTCCTTACCCCAGTCTGTGGCCCACTTGGTCTACTCCTTACCCCAGTCTGTTGCCCACATGGTCTACTCCCTACCCCAGTCTGTTGCCCACATGGTCTACTCCTTACCCCAGTCTGTGGCCCACATGGTCTACTCCTTACCCCAGTCTGTTGCCCACATGGTCTACTCCTTACCCCAGTCTGTTGCCCCACATGGTCTACTCCTTACCCCAGTCTGTGGCCCACATGGTCTACTCCTTACCCCAGTCTGTTGCCCACATGGTCTACTCCTTACCCCAGTCTGTTGCCCCACTTGGTCTACTCCCTCCTCTAGTCTGTTGCCCCACTTGGTCTACTCCCTCCCCCTAGTCTGTTGCCCTACTTGGTCTACTCCGTCCCCTCTGTCTATTGCCAACTATTCTACTCTATCATGTGTTACAGTGCAGCGGACCAGGCATGGACCCTGCTCCAGAGTTACCTGAGCAGCTACGAGGACAACACCACCCGCTACCACAGATGTGTATCTGAGAAGCTGTTGTCTCATGGCTTCGCCCTGCCCACCTGGTTCATCAACACTTACAAGGTAGGAAACACGCCGCACTTGTAACAGGTCATGCCGCAGTCACCAACTACACATCTTTCCCTCATGTCTCGCAATAGGGCACCGGTTCGGGGTATCTTTCTAGTCACTGTTAAGCATGGATTTCTGTCTGTCAAAAACAAAGATAACTGCCTGGCATACAAGACACAGCATGAGGGATGGGGAGCCGGGGAAGGTGGTCCCATGCTTATATGATGAGTAGGGATTTATCAAGGCATGAGCTCAATCCATCAAGTATTTAATTAGCATTCAAACAGCTTGTGTACAATTTAATCCTTTCTATATATTGGCGTCCTGACTTGTGGCATTTGTAGTTCCTACTCTTCACCTTGCCTCATCCAAATATGTGCTACTTGTTATCAATGACCTGTTGTTGTTATCCCCTGCCGCGCGTACAAATTAGAATATCTTAAGATCCGTTGACTTGATTCTTTTCATATTTGGTACCTAGGTTCATCACAGTATAAGAAAGGTCCCAGGCATTCATTTCCGCGGTCACAATGGGACTTTAACGTTTTACTCTGGTCAGCGATATATCTCAAGAACCGTTCACTAGATTTTCTTCATATTCAGCATGGCCAAGCTTTATCTAGGGAAGGCCTCAAGAGGGTCTTCTATATTTGACCCAGTCGATTTTGGTGACCTTCGGCTTCATTCTTCAAGGTCATGGTGACACTTTAGCGATTTCAGGATGTTAACCTGCATGTTAAGATGGTCAGCGAAATATCTCAAGAACCATTCACTGGACTTTCTTCATATTTGACACCAAGCTTCATCTAAGGAAAGTGCAAGGCCCAGTCGATTTTGGTGACCTTCACTTAATTTTCAAGGTCACAAAGACACTTTGAAGATTTCAGCATGTTAACCTGAATTCACTGGATTTTCTTCATAGACTTTCAAGACTTCCCTTGAATGTTTTTCAATAAGCAATTTCTTTAGTACCACTTTTGCATATTTCATACACTATGACATTCATGTCAAGGTCAAAGTCAGTCTTGAAAATATTTGTGTGTTTGAACAACTAAAGAGCAAGATATAAAGAGAGGTTGACTGGTCATGTTTTTGTTGACATTTAACTTCATCTTAAAGTTCCATTACTTTTTAAGTTTAATTTGATAGTTTGCGGCGGGGGGATTATTTTACCTAAGTGACAGTGCTTGTTATTGTTCATCTGCCTCTTGTCACTTTGCATATATACTTCTCATCACTTGGTTGTAGTCACTTTCAGCTTGATAATGGTGTATGAATTTAGCTTCGTTCAGGGATGTATAAGAAGGTATATCATTTTTAACTTACCTGTTATCATCTTATGCATACTTGCCTTACTCCTCGAAACAGACTGTGGAAGTTGAGATCAAAAGCTTGCTAACCTATACTCTAAATCTAAAACCCGTGAAGGTCCGGGTTAGAATGTACCTTCAGTAACCCATGCTTGTCGTAAGAGGCGACTAACAGGATCGGGTTGTCAGGCTCGCTGACTTGGTTGACACATATCATTGGTTCCCAATTGCGCAGATCGATGCTCATGCTGTTGATCACTGGATTGTCTGGTCCAGATTCGATTATTTACAGACCGCCGCCATATAGCTGGAATATTGCTGAGTGTGGCGTAAAACTAAACTCACTCACACTCACTCTAAATCTAAACTACTTAGGTTTTACCAAAATTAACATCGATTTTGAAAGTTGCTACAGGAGGGACACCTTAAGCATGGGGTCAGATAGTGTTGGTTAAATTAGATTTAAGTCATTGACATTTACATGTTTTAAGATCGTGATTATTTTCTGCTGTAGGAGCTGAACTGTGCGGAGCTGCTGCGAGTGTATATTGACTACGACCTACTGGAAGAGGCTGCAGCACTGGCCACTGAGTACATCCACGCAGTGACAGACACACTTGCTGGGGTAGACAGGATCATGTTTGATCTCAAGGTCAGGCCAAATGTGTTAATCAACTTTTATGTGTGTGTGTTGTGAAAATCATAGTCATGGTCTCCCCAAAAGTGGTAAAAGTGGATGACCTATAGCACTTTGTGCTCTCTTCCTCCATCAAGATTTGATGATGAAAAAGAGGAAGCCCAGTGGTTAAAGCGTTTGCACAACACACTGAACACCTGGTTTTATTCTCTACATGGGTACAATGTGTCAAGCCCATTTCTGGTTTTCCCCAATCGTGATATTGCTGGAATATTGCTAAAAGCTGCGTAAACTCAACTTACTCATCAAGCTGACACTGAATACAGTCAAAGCAGCATAAAACCAAGCTTACTCACTACATGCTACCATAATTCAGGATTTGTTCTCAGATATTAATCCTGACAGTACATTTAGCACCTAACAGACCATGAAACTGGAAACTCCTAGAATCAAGGGGCTGTTGATAAAGGGGCATAAATAATATGCAGATTTTCAGATGATTTGTCAGTATATTTGATGAGGCTGATCAATTTGTGATTCAGGGTTGTCGACTAAATGCCCAGTGTGTGTGGTTGCCGTATGTCTGCATTGACCAACTCCTCGCTGCACTGCACGATCACCAGGAACAAATAACATACAAGAAGGTCAGTATGTCTACAAATTCACATCTGCTTCCCCATGTTCCAGAAATACTGATATACTTGAAACAAGAAAACAGTGTTGTCACTGTCTCCAACCAGGAGACACATTAGAATTTTATATTGGTTTATAGAGTAATGAATAATATGAAAGTAAATGTTTACTTGAAAAAAAAGAGTCACATATATAAGGCCTTAGAGGAAAGTCAGCACATGTGTCACCAAAAGTTAATAAATGTGATATAAATACACACAAAAGGCCCCTCAAGAAAAACTCATTTGTGGAACCAATTTTCAAATTCAGTCTTTAGTAAAAAATTTCCTTATCCTGACTCATGCTAATTATGCTTGTCTCCTTCCTCTTGCGAATGATAGTGGAACACTTGAAATCCTTTGAAGTTCCCTTTAAAAAAGCGGACGTAAAATCACTCACCCACGAGTAGCGTCCCTTTCCTCCCTTTAGCGCCCAGATGGTCACATGATCGGCCATATTTGTCACTCTCTCCTTCTTCGCCCTTGAGGACGGTTGTGAGAGCACCTGGGTCCCTATATGGCACATGTCCTTTTATATTTTCGGACCTTACATCAAAATTATTGCTGTATACGGTTTTTAGGATTATATTCTACATTACGGTTTGAAATTTGATCTAAAGTTTCCGTTGTTTGACATGTGTTTTCTTCATGTTTACAATTGATGAAAACTTGTATTCGTTGTAGGTACCGAGTGTCTGCGGCTTACCCGCATTTATTATGTCCTAATTGCACTGTTTCATGTTCTTTCAGCTCTCGTTGTGAGTTTTGTGTAAATTTATATTCGGTTGAATTTACTAATTACCTTTTTCCCATCCATAGACCTGCTAAGGACTGGGTAGGTAGGTATTCACAAGCCATGTCTAAATCGAGTGATTGCGCTGATAACCGTGTGTTAACCACTGCCGTGGATATTCATAATTCTAGTGAATTGCTGAACGTTTCTTAGGAGCAAGTCGATGTACCAGGGGTGAACGCCGGAGGCCATAAGAGATCATCGTCTACTGAGCTGACCTCATCGCAGATAAAGAAGGCCAAATCTTCATCTTCGCAGAAGAAGAAGGCTACTACCATGAAGACTTCAGCAAAGTCTATGATCAGCTCTACACAGAAGACGAGGTCTTTCTCAGCCGAGATTGTTCCTCCGAAGAAGCAGATGTTTATTATAATCAACCCATCCTCATACCTGAAGTCACCATCATCAGTAAGAAGACGAAGCCTGCTTCTACAGCTACATCGGCATTGGTATCAGCGCAGACACTGACAGAAGACCTACTATCAACGCAGACATTGGGTACCAGATATAGCAGCAGCGTCAACTCTTCATGAGTGCAGCAAGCCTTAGATGAAGTCTCTTCAGTATTAGATGCATCATCCCTGCAGCAGTCTCTTCAGACAATGCAGAACTTCAACCCGGGACTGTTCATGCAACAGTTTACAGACCAGATGATGTCGATGATGGAACGTCGCTTCGCTCAATAGAAGGCTGCCATGAAGACCGCTACAACGTCTACTAGCCTGCGTGAAGGCTCTACAGTCTCCCCACCACATCTAGATTAGATGAAGAGGGAAGCCTGCGCGAAGGCTCTCTGACACGACGATCTTCCCCATCTGAAGTAGACGCCCCAGAGAGTGCTGCTAAGAAGTCTCCACGCAGGAAGGAATCAAGGCGTTCTCAAACCCTACAGACTTCTCAGATATGAGTCGTCATCTCCATGGGACTCTGGCGCACATCAAGAGCCTGCGCGAAGGCACTCCTACAGAGGGGAAGCTACATCCAGGAATCCCCTTTTGCCAAGGTCTTGAGGAATATCTCAAATCTCCAGGAAGGAGTCAAGATCACATTGGGATCGATAGCCTGCGCGAAGCTCATCTTATGGATCATCCTATAGAGATTCAAGTCGTCGTGCATCCTTAGAGCGAGAGATGTCTAAATCAGAGGATGAAGGTGAAGGCGTCTTCTACGATACGGAAATTAACTCTTGGACTTATCATCACCTTCTAAGGACACAGATGAGGCCTTTACCTACAAGTTGTCCAAAGATGATTTGGGGCAGTGGTTAAAGATGATCGGGTTCGATTCCCCACATGGGCACAATGTGTTAAGCCCATTTCTGGTGTCCCCCGCCGTGATATTGCTGGAATATTGCTAAAAGCGGCGTAAAACTAAACTCAGTCAGTCAGTCAGTCCAAAGATGATTTCGACACACTCACCTTTCCACCGACCAGCCCGATCTCTCAAGTACCAGACAACCTCAATGCAGCTTTTGATAAAGCCACCAAGTCGCAAAGTCAGCACATCCCGTCATTCAACGCCAGGACATTCCCTCTACATAGGATGGAACCCTTCCTGAAGGCTCCAGAGGTTGATAATGACTATAAGATTATCACCGACTCCCGTCAAAGAACTTACAAGATTGAGGATAAGAAGTTAGCGCAGCTGGATACAACCACCAGACGTACTTTCTTCGGATTAGCCAGATCAAGGACTATCAACGAAACACTCATTTCGAAGTTCAAGAATTCCTCGGCCGAAGAAGACCAGATGATATACTCCCAGAAGAGAGACCATCAATTTATGTCGGAGCACCTCCACCTCAGCGGGCTTGACTCCCCTGAGAATAAAAGCGTTATTGTCAGCATGCACTTGGAGTGAACGCTTCACCAAGTCCTTATACAGAGCCCCATGGTCATCATCTTACATCTTCGGAGGAGGAATTGAAGAAGTTGCCAGAGAAGTCTCTCACAACTCTAGGGAAGTTATGATTAAATCCATCGACACTTTGGCTAACGTGATTCGGCAGACGTCCCAACGCTACTCCAACAAATCTAAGTTTGCAGGAGTCCAGAGAGCCAGAGAAAAGAAGTATTCCAGTATGAAAGGAGGAAGAGGCTCCTTTCGTCGCCCAACTAGAGCTCCTAGAGGTAACCCCGGAAGAGGCCGAGCACCCAGGGGTGCAAAAGGTAGCAAGCATTGAGTCTTCCACCCCCAGCCGTTCCTGTGAAACCTTCGACAGTGGATGGACGTCTTCAACGGTACTGGGAGAATTAGGGGATACTACAGGATGACTACGTATCCCAGATACTGCGCAGAGGGTACAAGATACAGTTGGAAGCCACTCCGCTGCTCACAAGCAACCCGATGGCCTTCAACTACGCAGCCGACCAGATAGAGAAACTGGACGATGATATCAAGACACTACTCGACAAAGAGGCAGTAGAAGAGATAGATCAAGATCTCATCACGCCGGGTTCTACTCCCAAATTTTCCTGGTACCGAAGAAGAATTCCAAGGAGAAATTTCAGCTCATCTACAACATAAGAAGTTCAACCGGGAGTATCTACGCAGACCAGCAAAATTCAAGATGATACATCTTCCTCAGCTCCGACATCTCTGCAAGATGCGTACCTATACATCCAGACTCAAGGAAATACCTACGTTTCCTTTATACGGACAGCACTTCCAGTGGAAGGTTCTACCGTTTGGAATATCGTTGCCCCCCTGGTTGTTTACTTGAGTGACCAAGCCCATCGTCACATATCTACATTGTCAAGGTCTACGCATTGCTTTCTACCTGGACGACGGATTCAGGCTCATCGAGATCCCAGTCAACTCAGACTGCAACTAGACTTCACCATCAGGCTGCTCACTCAACTAAGATGGCTAGTGAATCTCCTCAAGTTGGAACTGGAGCCGAAACGAGATCTGCAATTCCTAGGAATCGACTCATCACACCAGTGAATCGTATAGTCGTTCCAGAGGATCGTTGGGTCAAAATACAACAGATGATATCTCAAGCATTGCTCTCTCCGTTGACACTACGTGCTTGGCAAAGCATGCTCAGTCTACTCACCTCAGCTCAAGACATGCCTCACAAAGGGAGATAACAGTTGCGCCCACTACAAGTATTTGTGAACGCCAACCTAGACAGCATAGATCCCTTAATACTACCGGACAGCCTGAAACCATATCTCCAATGGTGGACTTGGCAGTCAAACGTTTGCGGAGGGACCGTTTTTCCAGAGCCGGTTTGCAACACTCATCTCTACGTGGACGGACATCCTTTGAACTACTAACTCAGAAAACGCTGTTTCTGATCGCCCTAGCAACAGCTGCAAGGATGTCAGAAATACATGCTCTGGACTTTGAACGAACACAATTTGAATCAAGACATCGTGACATCATACATCTGGGACTGAGATGGGATTTTATCGCCAAGAACCAACTGCCTGGTCAGCCTGACAGACAATTCCACATCCTAGCACTATCTACAGTCCTTGGGCCACAGGATATGCAGGATCTATCCTTATGCCCAGTCAGAGCACTTAAAGTCTACATACAAAGAACTAAAACAAGGAGACGAAAATTCAAGCGCCTATTCATCGCCTTATCCACTGAGACGCCCATCTCACGGACAACAATATCGATCTGGATGACAGCCGTTATACTAAGGGCCTATAAAGCAGCAGGACTTGAGCCTCCATGGGCCTCCAATCCACATGAAGTCAGAGCCCTGGTGTCTACACTTGCTCTGCATGGAAACTGCTCGATTACAACTATAATGGAGGGCTGCTTTTGGAGATCGACCACGGTGTTTGGCAACCACTACCTCAGAGACATTGCGACTGAAGACGTCTCAGGCATTCACCAGTTTGGGCCACTTGTTGTAGCACAACAACTAACGGTTCCACAAAGGCGCTGAGTAAATCTCACCCCTTTTATCACATGACTTGTGAAAACCAACGCTCTGGAGAACAATGGCTGTAAGTCCATGCACACGTCTAGGACAGACTAGCATGAGTGATAGACCCTGTACTTGTATAGGACATACTCGTACATGAAGAAGGGTCGCAGCTATACGAAAATGTCAGAAGTTTCGGAAGAAATCTTACAAGTTGTGGTCCCCCCAGACTCATCAGACAGAAGTTGAAAGAATCTTCAACAGTGCCATCATAAGTTCCCAAGGGGGTAATACAGGACATAAATCTACTACCAGTGAATCCAGAACGTGGCTTGACCCACCACCATTTCCGACGGATTCTGCAAGCATAATTAGCTTGAGTCAGGATAAGGTAAAAATTTGTAATTTTCTGACTAAAATTGATATTTTATACTCATGACGTAAGCCCTCCCAATCTCCCCTCTTATGGCACTCTGGATTTCCTTGTAAATCCGGGTGTCAGGCTTACATACGGAGAGAGTGACAAATATGGCCGATCATGTGACCATTTGGGCGCCAAAGGGAGGAAAGGGACGCTACTCTTGGGCGAGTGATTTTACGTCCGCTTTTTTGAAGGGAACTTCAAGGGATTTCAAGTGTTCCACTATCATTCACAAGAGGAAGGAGACAAGCATAATTAGCATGAGTCAGGATAAGTATAAAAAATCAATTTTAGTCAGAAAATTACATTTTCATGTTACCTCAGTGGTTTCACCCCTTCTTAGGCACTATGTCTGATGATTTCCATATCTGATGGTCAAGATTATAAAACATGTAGTTTAATATCAGGTCTCCAACTATAAAGGAACAATATTCGTGACAATATTTTGGCCTATATTATACATATATTGGGGCATATTCACTCACTTTGACTTCTTTTGATGCAATAAAAGAATTATTCTCTCTTATGACTTGCCTGAAATCAATAATTGAAACTTCGAGGTGAACAGCTTCCAAACAGAGAACACTTGCCATATATGGAATGTAAACAATTCATCGGTACATCAAAAATTGTCACACACGGTGTTGTCGGTATTTGCCGAACTAGTTTCAATCACAAGTTGTGTGTAGGATATTCGTCAAGTGCGCTCCAAGAGACATAACTCTATGGGGTTCGCTTGAAATAATGTTTGGCCGGTGGAGGACGCAAGAGTCGATTTAATGCAATGTTGCATTAATTCATTCGAACTTTTTAATTTAATATTGTAATCTAAACACATAATTCTTTTTGGAATAAACTATATGGTAGCTTTCCTGAGGGCTGATAGTTAGTATTATTGAGAGAAATGCATTATTTATTTTTAGAGTAGTTTGGCGTGATATAGTGCCTTTACATCTTTTTGTTCCCACACAGGAGATGGAAAAAGATTGACAAACTCCCTACCAGTATCCCTGTCTCCACATTGTGGCAGGGGATAATAACCGTTACATTACCAGATATTTTCCTCAAATACATAGGCGTTGCCCAGTCAAGATGAATTGACAGATAATCCGATCTTAAGCCTATAACAGGTCTAACATCGCTAAGTATTGTTGGAAAATATCAATTGACCAAAATATCCACAGGTATCACCAAACTTTTTATGAACCAGATGTTGATTTTGTAATATGAATTTTTATCAGACTATGCATAGATTTGTTACTCCATCCCAAACATGAGAATGTAATTATCCCCCTCAACGCATTTTGCGGGGGGTATTAAAATGGACTCCATCCGTGCGTCCATGCGTGCGTCTGTGCGCATTTGTCTTTTCCTAGCAGGACTTTAAAACCGTTCAATATTTCTTTACCAAACTTGGCACATACATACATCTGGTGGTGTACTGGTGCCTTTTGGTAGTTTTTGGAATTCTGAATAAAATATTTTTGGCGTTTCCATGGTAACAAGTTTGACTTAGATTGAAATTGGCGGTAGTGCTCTTTTCCGGAGCAGAACTTTAAAACCATTCAATATTTCTTCACCAAACTTGACGCATAGATTGGTCTAGTGGTGTACTGGTGCCTTTTGGTAGTTTTGGTATTCTGAATGAAATATTTTTGGCGTTACCATGGTAACAAGTTTGACTTAGACTGAAATTAGTAGTAGTGCTCTTTTCCGGAGCAGAAATTTAAAAACCTTTCAATAATCTCCTTCCACTTTTCTATATACACACCAAAACATTTGACATAATCATAACTCGTAGACATATTCATGAAGAGTATTTTGCCATTGCGGGGGATATTGATGACTTTGTATTCTTGTTCCATCCTAGTTTGCAAGGGTGGAAACAGAACTCATCATCATGGGATGAAGTTCAGCACTTGTTCAAGAACTCTAGGCACATTATATTCCAATTTGTTTATGGCCAACTGCCTATGTCTCCATCTGAACTGTAGGACAGTGTTTGACTCAAACACTGGTCCACTAATTATAACACAGTTTCCTCAGAACCAGAAACATGAAATAAATGATGGTCTGGTGGTCGTTTTTTTGTGGATGAACAAAATCTTTAGCATGTTCAACTTTTGAAATCATCACCTCTTTGACTCTAAACAAAACCTGCAGTGTAAACAGCTTTAGTATAGTGGGTACCTTACCTGACTGTGTAATAAAGTAGAACATTTTGAAACCCTTTTTGATCATACAAATGTGTATAAATGTGTCTAGAGAGATCCAAAGGACCAGTACATAGTTTGTTGTGCTAGTCCTTTTGACCAGTGCAAATTTTGGTCAGTGTTATTTACTGTTCACTCTTTTTTCCAGATTTATGAGGACTTGAAGCAAACTGTTACCAGATATCAAGATCGTGTTGAAAGAGACAGCCGAGACCTTTCCAGAACGTGATAAATGTTTCCTCCAGAGTGTAATTTGTGACTATGTACTAATTTGTTAAGTGAATACCTGTGTCATCATCCCATCATGGGGACATGAGAACAGCTGTTACATGTGACGAAGGACAATGTCGAGACTTCACACACAGAATCATCAGGATCATGACATCATCTTTTACATCATGGCTGAATCAAAGCATCATGACAAATTCAATAAAACTACAATGTAATTATCATCTGTAAAATAAATTTCATATTTGTCAAAATATTATGTTATGTGATTTGTGTTGTCAGCAGTTTGGGGTAGATCAAACTATTTTGTTGTTACACAGCACTATTCCAGCCCTACACGGGTGACATGTAAGTAGTTTGGACCAGACAATCCAATGATTGACACTATGACCATCAATCTAGGGGTACGATGACATGCATCAGTTGCTGGGGACCAATTCTGACACAAAATCCCCCACAGGGAATCAGAAAGCAAAACCTGTAATTAAGTTATGGAAGAGCAGGGCTCCAGATAAGGGCCGTATCGGCGTATGTATGGATGATACATATGCACAATACGGTAGGAAATAATTTAGAAAACGTAGCGGATACGCACCACAGCAATGGTGTTCGGTCATAGAATCACTTACAGATGTATTTATCTGAAAAGAAATTTGTTTTATTGTTTATTTACCTGTTTACACAAGAGTAGTAATGTTGTGGTGCATATATGAAACGGAACACAAGATCTCATACCCCATTAAATTCCATTCAGTACTCTAAATGTATTCTTAAGTTTTTCCAGTACTCCTATATTACAAAAATAAGGAGTACGTACTCCGGATGTTGAAAAATTATCTGGAGCCCTGGAAGTGTCATGATTTCAGATCCAGATTTGCCATGATTATCACCTACTAACTGCTGGCATCATTTAAGAACATGGAGAACCTGGATTTTGTGGCATTCCACTAACAAAGGACAAGACTGCTTCAAAACGATTTTCAGCTCCCAACCTAGAATCCTTCCCGAATCCTAGATCACGTGTATAATATATATTCATTTTTACTATGACACATACAAATACTCGTAGTGGCAAATTCGTCCAGAATTGATACTAGGAGTATACTCGTGAAAGGCAGTCAATGTGTTAATAATATTAGTGCATCACAACACAAGTGCTCCAATACAATGTATCACTGCAAACCTGATCAGAGTATGGACGACCACTGAAAAGAACTTGTTGAACTTGTTGAAGTACATCTTGATACATGGATTTTGTTACAAAGAAATGGCAAAGTTAAGACTAAGAGTTAAGTGTATAAGCCCTAACAAAACTGACAAATTGTCAAACGTGATGAAATTCGTAAGATGTTTAAAAAACTGTTTCCGTTACTCTGAGTACTTTTACGTACATGGGGCACTTAATTTAGTAGTGTAACAGGGTTTCTGAAAATGCTAGTCAATATTCCACCAATATCCCAACATGTGGTAAATGTTAATGTGCACAAGGCAATCTAGGGGATAATATTATGAACAACACTTCATGCTGTTTAGGTTTAACGATACACAATAAACCAAGTAAGGTAACATTTATGACAAACAATTCTTCAAACATTCTCAGTTCATCAGCATCAGCAGTCTCAACACATACCATATTGGAAAAAGGTTAACAAAGATGGCAAGTTCATTTGAATTGTTTAATTCTGTATCACAGGTTTTTCAAATTATGATCACAAATTCAACTTCAACAATCAGGCATTATCTTCTGTTAAACCAAGACGACATTCACCATGACAATTACCATGCAACATACAGATTTAATACGTGTCAGTGAGGAACAAGTGAGATCATTTAAAGTTAAAACAAAATACCAATACCATTCTTACATGGCCAAATAAGTGCATGTATCAACAGTACAGCAATACCAGTTCATGCAAGTCAATGGAAACCTACCGGTACTTCCTTAGCTGAAACTAAAGATAACATTCAATTGCACATTTTATTTAATATCATGGCACACAAAAGTGAACAGTTAACATTACGTGGTAAATCAAGGGGCTGTGACAAATGATTTTACTGATGTGGTTTGACACATATCAGACAAGAGTGGTCAAATCTTTTTTCTTGTAACTTAGTTCTAGTTGACACAATTTATAAGTGACTTACTTATTAATGAGTAAAGACAACTAACTGTGACAGAGCTCCAGATACGCTGCGTATTTGCACATAATTCGCTGTAGAAAAGTTGAAATACGGAAGAAAAATAAATGCCAGCATATGAAAAAACACTAAATATTTATGATTACGCTATGTCAAAATAACAATGCGTATTTACCCAATACATCAAAATCATGTTGCGTATCGTATCATTCAAGCCAATCGAAACAAAGTTTTTCGATCTCAAATTTTTTCGCTATTAAGAGAATCTTGAATAATTATAAATGCAATGAAGATGCATAAGGCAGATAGAATACCCATCATAGTTTATTAACTAACCTTCACTGATTTCCCCATCTATAAATTACTACCAATCAAATAGCAGTTTTCTTTCTACATGTCCAGTCAACAACGTGATAATGGTGTGAAAGCACTGTGAAAAGCTTCCACATGCTCAAAGTAAAATATCTAGGGTGTTTTTATGGTTTACTCCCGGAATGCCGGTGTAACAGGCCAAACTTTCCCCCCTGGCCAAACCTTCCCCGGGGAAACTTTAGCCTAGGCCAAAGTTTTCCCCCCTAGGCTTAATCTTCCCCAAGGAAAGTTTGTCCCAGGCCACCCTTGAATCAACTTTAAAGGCTACTTGTTTCCCATTCCCATATTAAAAGGGGGAGATTCTGGCCTAGTAGGCTATTTCTTCCCCAACCTTGTTTTCATGTTTATGTTCATCTTGAAAAAGTCAGAAACGAAAACAGGACATAGCTATTCACGTGAACACATTGATAAGATATTCATGGTGATGTCAAGTTCCATTATCAATTTACAGGTCATCTTCATCTTCATATATAACATGTACATGGTTCCCATTTTGTTTCAATACCCTTCCATAAGGTGAGATCAAAAACAAAAGCAAGCATAAAAGCAAAGATATTATATCATTACTATTATTTTTTCCTTATCCTGACTCATGCTCTTTTGCTTGTCTCCTTCCTCCTGCGAACATAGTGGAACACTTGTATCTCCCTAATTGAAGTTCCCTTCAATGTAAAATCACTAATTAGTACACCACGAGTTACCTCCCTTCCACAAGCGCGGGAACGAGGGCGCCACCTCTACCCATGTGCCTCACTCTCTCCTTCTTCGCCCAGTGAGCTGGACGTGAGAGCGCCTGTGTCTCCCGACACACTATATCCTTTGATTATATTTAGTTAGTTACCTCGTATAGAGATCTATAGAGGTTTAGCTAGTATCTTTCAACAATTATATATTGATATTTAGTCGTGTTTCTACTGTTTATGCACGGGACGCCGTGCTGTTGCAGTGGATTACGTTGATAAAAATTCTGTACTGTTGCACATTACGTTTTTTATTCTGCTGCTGATCCGCATTTAATATGCCCTAGCTGTACTGCGCCATGTTTCATGTGATTCACGTTGCAGTTGCGATACTAATTTATCCAATTCTACCTTTAATAAATAATTACTTTGCGTTTGAGACGCGCAGCAGATAGGTCACGTATGCAGAGTCTAGCATGACTGATACACCTGAACCCCTCGCCAGTCTACTGCTGTTGGTCGACCCCCCTCCCGTCTGGGTTTCCACGCTAGAATGGTGGAGAGGCGTGGACGTAGTCCGCCGCCTCCAAGAAGCGTCCTGCTTCCCCAGACATCCCTTCGTCGCACTGAGGGGTATTCAACGAAGTCTACTAGAACTTTCTCAGCCGAGATTGTTCTCATCGCAGATTTGGGCCTGTATGATGATCAGCCGATCATCATTCCTGATGTACATCAAAGAATGACTGATGTCGGCAACAGTGATGTCAGCGCAGATCAACATTCGATGATCTTCCTGAGGGTCCCGTCGCTACCAACACTCAACGCAGACTTCGCACCCCCAGGGCAGCGTCGACCTCTGAGGGGAATTCAACGAAGTCTACTAGGGACTTTCAACCGAGATTGTTCCAGCCGCTGAACTTGGCCTCTACGATGATCAGCCGATCATCATCCTCGACGTATGAGACAAGTAGCGACCGGTGACAGCTACAATGACATCAGCAGAGATCGTCATGCAGCCTGATGTCTCTACACTGATGTCAGACGACTTACCTGAGGGCCCCACCACTAACAGCGCAGAGATGGCACCGACTACTTCGTCGCAGACCATCCCAGACGAGCTACTACGGCAAATCATGGTCGTGATGGAGGGTCACTACAGACTGGAGAAGCAGCCAGCCCAGAGTACGAGCCTTCGCGAAGGCTCCAACTTAGACAACACTCTAGAGGCACCTCCAGTCAACGTAGCAGCCAAGACGATGCAGCCTTCGCGAAGGAAGTCGCAGACCACCTTGACGAAGGACCCAGATGTACAGCCTTCGCGAAGGCCTTCGCGAAGGCGGGATAGATCATCACATTCCTCGGCTTCATCCTTAGATGCAGACTCAGCCACCAGACCTCACGGAAGCCTTCGCGAAGCTCAAATCGCCGTTCCCCAGCACCGAACGCAGAGGAAGCTTCGCGAAGGCGTTCGCGAAGGCGTTCGTGAAGGCGTTCGCGAAGGCATTCGCGAAGGCACTCGGGAAGGACACCCGAATATAGATCGTCATTTAACAGAGTCAAGGGACTACTCAAGAGCTTCGCGAAGCTGTCAATAGTCTCCGATCTCCTCGTACATCACCACATCGATCGCCTCACAGGTTACCACACAAGTCTGCACACAAGTCTACATCACCTTCCTAGAGTGGCAGTACGACGCAGACATACCTGATGAAGGAAGACGACGCAGATGCTATCACCCTACCTCCGATCGACCCGATTGCTGCGGTAGCACAGAATCTAGACATAGCATCCCATAAAGCCACAAAAGTTCAGACACCATAATTGCCGAACTTTCACGCCTAGAAGTTTTCCACGCACAACATGGACCCCTTCTTCAAGGCTTAAGACATCGATGAAAACTACAAGTTGATCATCGATATCAACAATAAGAACTACAATCGTAAATTGGTTCAGTTGAATCCATGACGAGACGTATGTTCGTTGGCCTAAATAGATCTAGAACGATCATTGAGACACTTATCACCAGATTTCGTAACACGACTTCTGAAAATGATAAGATGATC